GCCTTCAATAGCTTTACCGGGGGAATCTCCATATGGTACAGATATAATGGGAGGCTAATCGATGCCCGGGTGCGGTCAAGGGATGGCTCCCTATTGCTCAACCACGTTATGTATGCTGATGACTTGGTAATAGCTGCTCAGTCAGAGGAGGAGTTGGAGACGCTGCTGCTGAGACTGGAGCGTGCCACTAAGAGGTGGGGCCTTACCATCAGCCCCACCAAAACTAAGCACCTGCCTGGGTATTTTGTACCATCGGACACTCCACCCCCACAACTCCCAATCGGTGATGGGGCAGTTGTGGAGAGAGTGGAGAGTTTCCCATACCTGGGCAGTGTGGTTATGACTGGCTCCAGTTTAACAGCAGAGGTCTCACTCCGAATCAGTCGAGTGGCAATATCTTTTCATCGGTTGCGTAACGCTGTGTGGAAGCTACCTGGTCTGTTGCTCCGCACTAAGCTTCAGGTCTTCTCGGCCACGGTCATTCCCTCCCTTCTCTACGCTTGCGAAACGTGGACCCCCCTAATGGAACATCTTCGCCGGTTAGAAACATTTAGGCTGGCCTGCCTACGATCCATCCTGGGTTTAACCAGACTGGATTGTGTGAGGAGCTCACAAATCCTTGAAAGATCTGGGCAGGGTCCCATCGGTGAGCTCCTCCGGCAGGCAAGGCTGCGATGGCTGGGTCATGTAGCCCGCATGCCCAGCCACCGCATGCCGAAACAGCTTTTGTTTGGCCGGATTGAGGGGGCTAAGCGGGCGCGGCACGGGCGAGAGAAGAGATGGAGTGATGTGGTACAGGAGGACGTGGAGCTGAGTGGACTTGCCGATGACTGGTACCAGCGGTGTCAAGATCGGCCTCTGTGGAGGAGGCTCGTGAAGGATGCTACTGGGCAGTTGGAGGTAGTCGCCCTCCAACAACAACGGAGGGCGGAGGAGCGACGCTCAGAACAACGAGCGGAGCGCCGGGTGGCTAAAGCACAGCAGGTTGGCACAGTAGGGGGCACAGGTGGTGCATCAGCCAGTCATCTCAGTCAGTCGACCCGTGGCACCTGGGTCTGCCCCGTGACCTCCTGCCAGCGGGCGTTCGACACTTCACGTGGCCTCAGGGTGCACATAGCCTGGCACAAGCGTCGTGGTGACGTCACCGCCACTTAGTGGCGAATGGCGGTTGTTGTTGATGTATGTGTGTGTATGTGTGTGTGTATGTGTGTGTGTATGTGTGTGTATGTGTGTATGTATGTCTGTGTGTCTGAGTGTGTATGTGTGTGTGTATCTGTGTATGTGTGTATCTGTGTATCTGTGTGTATCTGTGTGTGTGTCTGTGTAGGTTCGACATCGCGCTGCTCGAACTGCGCTCTGCCGTGCCTCTGAGCGCCTCCATCGGCCCCGTGGCGCTGCCCGGGCCCTGGGCCGCGCTTGGGCCCGGGGCCACGTGCGTGGCCACGGGCTGGGGCAGAGCCCACGGTGGGTGGGGGTCACGGCAGGGGTCACGGCAGGGGTCACGGCAGAGACACGGCAGGGGTCACGGCAGGGGTCACGGCAGAGACACGGCAGAGACACTCAGAGACACGGCAGGGACACGGCAGAGACACGGCAGGGGTCACGGCAGGGGTCACGGCAGGGGTCACGGCAGAGACACGGCAGGGGTCACGGCAGAGACACGGCAGACACACGGCAGGGGTCACGGCAGAGACACGGCAGAGACACGGCAGGGACACGCAGAGACACGGCAGGGACACGGCAGAGACACGCAGAGACACGTCAGAGACACACAGAGACACGCAGAGACACGCAGAGACACGGCAGAGACACGGCAGAGACACGGCATAGACACGCAGAGACACGCAGAGACACGGCAGAGACACGGCAGAGACACACAGAGACACGGCAGAGACACGGCAGAGACACACAGAGACACGCAGTGACACGGTAGAGACACGCAGAGACACGGCAGAGACACGCAGAGACACGCAGAGACACGGCAGATACACGGGAGAGACACGGCAGAGACACGGAAGAGACACGCAGAGACACGCAGAGACACGGAAGAGACACGCAGAGACACGGAAGAGACACGCAGAGACACGGTAGAGACACGGCAGAGACACGCAGAGACACGGCAGAGACACGCAGAGACACAGAAGAGACACGGCAGAGACACGCAGAGACACGGCAGAGACACGCAGAGACACGGAAGAGACATGGCAGAGACACGCAGAGACACGGCAGAGACACGCAGAGACACGCAGAGATACGGCAGAGACACGCAGAGATACGGCAGAGACACGCAGAGAAAGTTGTGTCGTGAAAAAGGGCCATTGCTTGAGACGTCTTCTAAAATAGCTCCTATTGAGTCCACGCGGTATAATTGAGCATCGCGTTGTTGCTGCTGTTGTTGTTGCTGCTGGTTTGTTGCTGCTGTTGTTGTTGCTGCTGGTGTTGTTGTTGCTGTTGTTGCTGTTGTTGATGCTGTTGTTGTTGCTGATGCTGCTGTTGTTGTTTTTGATGTTGTTGATGCTTTTGTTGTTGCTGATGCTGCTGTTGTTGTTGTTGCTGATGCTGTTGTTGTTGCTGATGCTGTTGTTGTTGTTTTTGATGTTGTTGTTGTTGATGCTGCTGTTGTTGTTGTTGCTGATGCTGTTGTTGTTGCTGATGCTGTTGTTGTTGTTTTTGATGTTGTTGATGCTGCTGTTGTTGTTGTTGCTGATGCTGTTGTTGTTGTTTTTGATGTTGTTGTTGTTGCTGATGCTGTTGTTGTTGATGCTGCTGTTGTTGTTGCTGATGCTGTTGTTGTTGATGCTGCTGTTGTTGTTGTTACTGATGCTGTTGTTGTTGTTTTTGATGTTGTTGTTGTTGTTGCAGCGGACGGCCCCCTGGCGCAGCAGCTGCGCGAGGCGGAGCTGCCCATTGTGACGTCAGCCACGTGCTCGCAGGCCACGTGGTGGGGAGCGCTCGCGACAGAACGCGTCGTCTGCGCGGGCGACGCACGCTCCGTGTGCAACGTGCGACACGCAGAGACACCGACACAGAGACACCGACACAGAGACACCGACACAGAGACACCGTCACAGAGACACCGACACTGAGACAGGGACACCGAGACAGAGACACAGACACAGAGAGACACACGCAGAGACACACAGAGAGACACCAACACAGAGACACCGTCACAGAGACAATAGAGACACCGAGGCAGAGAGACACACACAGAGACACCGACACAGAGAGAGAGGCACGCAGATACAAAGAGACAGATAGAGACAGAAAGACAGCGAATCAGAGGCAGAGACACACAGAGTGGGGGACACCCATTGAGTAGGTAGCAGCAATCTGTCACAACTTGACCCCTCCCTGTAGGCACGTGGACTAGTTACACCCACCCCGAATCCTGTAGCACGGCCGATATTTAATCCACGCAGAAAACCACCAAAGATCAATAATATTGACGTGAGCAGACAGAGAGTCCCACCACTCACCCAGCCCCATCGCTCCTTCAGTCCCACCACTCCCTCAGTCCCACCACTCCCTCAGCCCCACCGCTCCCCGTCCCACCACTCCCCCAGCCCCACCGCTCCCTCAGTCCCACCACTCCCTCTGTCCCACCGCTCCCTCAGTTCCACCACTCCCTCTGTCCCACCGCTCCCCCGGCCCCACCACTCCCTCTGTCCCACCGCTCCCCCAGCCCCACCACTCCCTCAGCCCCACCACTCCCTCTGTCCCACCACTCCCTCAGCCCCACCACTCCCTCAGTCCCACCACTCCCTCAGCCCCACCGCTCCCCCAGCCCCACCACTCCCTCTGTCCCACCACTCCCTCAGCCCCACCACTCCCTCAGTCCCACCACTCCCTCAGCCCCACCGCTCCCTCAGTCCCACCACTCCCTCTGTCCCACCGCTCCCCCAGCCCCACCACTCCCTCTGTCCCACCGCTCCCCCAGCCCCACCACTCCCTCTGTCCCACCGCTCCCCCCTCCCCCTCCCTGCGTACGGACCCAGTGGATGTCCCCTTAGCTGAGATGGGCTCTGATGCACAAAGACAAAGACGCCCCGTCTAGCCCCAACAGAGCGTTGGGGCAAGTGCTGTTAGTGAGGAGCAGTGGCTACATAGACCGGCACAGGACACGAGGGGGTGGGTCGCCTTAAGAGACAAAGTCTCACCCACCCACACACTCACCCACCCACACACTCACCCACCCACACACTCACCCACTCACTCACCCACACACTCACACACTCACTCACTCACACACCCACCCACACACTCACCCACACACTCACCCACTCACCCACCCACACACTCACCCACTCACCCACACACTCACCCACACACGCACCCACTCACCCACACACTCACCCACACACTCACCCACACACCCACCCACACACTCACCCACACACTCACCCACACACTCACCCAAAAACTCACCCACTCACACACTTACCCACCCACTCACCCACACACTCACCCACCCACTCACCAAAGAAGTCACCCACCCACTCACCCACACACTCACCCACATACTCACCCACTCACCCAAAAACTCACCCACTCACACACTTACCCACCCACTCACCCACACACTCACCCACCCACTCACCAAAGAAGTCACCCACCCACTCACCCACACACTCACCCACATACTCACCCACACACCCACATACTTACCCACTCACACACTCACCCACCCACACACTCACCCACACACCCAACCACCCACTCACCCACACACTCACCCACCCACTCACCAAAGAAGTCACCCACCCACTCACCCACACACTCACCCACACACTCACCCACACACCCACATACTTACCCACTCACACACTCACCCACCCACACACCCACCCACACACTCACCCACACACCCACCCACCCACTCACCCACACACTCACCGATAACCCCACACCCCCTCGTCACCCTGCCTGGCCAACCAACACCACCACCCCAACCCCGTGCCCTCCCTCCCTCATCTCCCCCCCGCCCCCCACCGCAGGGAGACTCGGGGGGCCCCCTGAGCTGCCGCGTGGGGGGGGCCCGCAGCGCGTGGCAGCTCCACGGCGTCACGAGCTTCGTGTCGGCTGCAGGCTGCGCGACGCCACACAAACCGGCCGTGTTCACGCGCGTGTCGGCTCACTCGGCATGGATCGCCGCCGTCACCGGGGTAACACCCCCCACCCCACCCCTCCACACCCCGCCCCCCGCAGCCCCCACCCTCTACACCCCCCCCACCCCTCCACACCCCGCCCCCCCCAGCCCCCACCCTCTACACCCCCCCCACCCAGCTCCCCCCCCCCCCCCGCCAGCCCACCCCGCCACACCTAACCCCCCCCCCCACCATATAAAATGATGGTCAGCTGGTTAGTCAGCTCGATAGATAGTCACTAGATGGATAGTCAGATAGATAGTCCACTAGATGGATAGTCAGATAGATAGATAGTCCAGTAGATGGATAGTCAGATAGATAGTCCACTAGATGGATAGTCAGATAGATAGTCGCTAGATGGATAGTCAGAGAGATAGATAGTCCACTAGATGGATAGTCAGATACATAGATAGTCACTAGATGGATAGTCAGCTCGATAGATAGTCACTAGATGGATAGTCAGATAGATAGATAGTCTACTAGATGGATAGTCAGAGAGATAGATAGTCACAAGATGGATAGTCAGCTAGATAGATAGTCACTAGATGGATAGTCAGATAGATAGTCCACTAGATGGATAGTCAGATAGATAGATAGTCCAGTAGATGGATAGTCAGATAGATGGATAGTCAACTAGATGGATAGTAAGATAGATAGTCTACTAGATGAATAGTCAGATAGATAGATAGTCACTAGATGGATAGTCAGCTCGATAGATAGTCACTAGATGGATAGTCAGATAGATAGATAGTCCAGTAGATGGATAGTCAGATAGATAGATAGTCCACTAGATGGATAGTCAGATAGATAGTCACTAGATGGATAGTCAGATAGATAGATAGTCACTAGATGGATAGTCAGAGAGATAGATAGTCTACTAGATGGATAGTCAGATAGATAGATAGTCACTAGATGGATAGTCAGATAGATAGATAGTCCAGTAGATGGATAGTCAGATAGATAGATAGTCTACTAGATGGATAGTCATATAGATAGATAGTCTACTAGATGGATAGTCAGAAAGATAGTCACTAGATGGATAGTCAGATAGATAGATAGTCTACTAGATGGATAGTCAGAGAGATAGATAGTCAACTAGATGGATAGTCAGATAGATAGTCACTAGATGGATAGTCAGATAGATAGATAGTCACTAGATGGATAGTCAGAGAGATAGATAGTCCACTAGATTGATAGTCAGATAGATAGTCACTAGATGGATAGTCAGATAGATAGATAGTCTACTAGATGGATAGTCAGAGAGATAGATAGTCCACTAGATGGATAGTCAGATATATAGTCACTAGATGGATAGTCAGATAGATAGATAGTCACTAGATGGATAGTCAGAGAGATTGATAGTCCACTAGATGGATAGTCAGATAGATAGTCACTAGATGGATAGTCAGATAGATAGATAGTCACTAGATGGATAGTCAGAGAGATAGATAGTCTACTAGATGGATAGTCAGATAGATAGATAGTCACTAGATGGATAGTCAGATAGATAGATAGTCTACTAGATGGATAGTCAGATAGATAGCCCACTAGATGGATAGTCAGACAGATAGTCCACTAGATGGATAGTCAGATAGATAGATAGTCCGCTAGATGGATAGTCAGATAGATAGATAGTCCACTAGATGGATAGTCAGATAGATAGATAGTCTACTAGATGGATAGTCAGATAGATAGATAGTCCGCTAGATTGATAGTCAGATAGATAGATAGTCACTAGATGGATAGTCAGATAGATAGATAGATAGTCACTAGATCGATAGTCAGATAGATAGGCCGCTAGATGGATAGTCAGATAGATAGTCTGCTAGATGGATAGTCAGATAGATAGATAGTCTACTAGATGGATAGTCAGATAGATAGATAGTCTACTAGATGGATAGTCAGATAGATAGATAGTCCGCTAGATGGATAGTCAGATAGATAGTCCACTAGATGGATAGTCAGATAGATAGTCCACTAGATGGATAGTCAGATAGATAGATAATCTACTAGATGGCTAGTCAGATAAATAGTCCGCTAGATGGATAGTCAGATAGATAGTCCACTATATGGATAGTCAGATAGATAGATAGTCCGCTAGATGGATAGTCAGATAAATAGATAGTCTACTAGATGGCTAGTCAGATAGATACATAGTCCGCTAGATGGATAGTCAGGTAGATAGATAGTCCGCTAGATGGATAGTCAGATAGATAGATAATCCACTAGATGGATGTCAGATAGATAGATAGTCCACTAGATGGATAGTCAGATAGATAGATAGTCAGCAGGATAGATAGCCAGGTAGATGGATAGCTATCTAGGTAGTCAGCTAGTTAGATAGTAAGTCAGCAAGATAGTCAGCTCATGAGCTAGCTCAGTTAGTCATAGATCGGTATGAACGATGTCGACGATGACGCTAACCTCCGCCGTGCCGTCTCTATTCACAGCTCGCGTCGTCGGCCACCAATCACCCGGCCGCCTCTCCCCCCCTTCTGCTGCTGCTCGCGCTGGCCCCTGTGCTGCGTTGGCCATGCGGTGCCCCCATGACCGGGCGAACGACCTCCTGAGAGGCTCGCGGTGTCCCGCGTGGGAACCCCACAGCGGCCGGCAGGAGCTGGCAGGAGGCTGAAGGGCCCGTGGTGGTTTTGCGATGGCCGGGGTGACTTCACGATGGCCCGGGGTGGTTTCATGATGCCCCGGGGTGGTTTCACGATGGCCCGGGGTGGTTTCATGATGCCCCGGGGTGGTTTCATGATGCCCCGGGGTGGTTTCATGGTGGCCGGGGTGGTTTCACGATGGCCCGGGGTGACTTCACGATGGCCTGGGGTGGCTTCGTGATGGCCTGGGGTAACTTCACGATGGCCTGGGGTGACTTCACGATGGCCTGGGGTGGCTTCACGATGGCCTGGGGTGGCTTCACGATGGCCTGGGTGGCTTCACGATGGCCCGTGGTAGCTTCACGATGGCCGGGATTGTTTCACGATGCCCCGGGTGGTTTCACGATGGCCTGGGTGGCTTCACGATGGCCTGGGTGACTTCACGATGGCTGGCGTGGCTTCACGATGGCCCTGGGTGGCTTCACGATGGCCGGGGTGACTTCACGATGGCCGGGGTGGTTTCACAATGGCCTGGGTGGCTTCACGATGGCCTGGGTGGTTTCACGATGGCCTGGGTGGTTTCACGATGGCCTGGGTGGCTTCACGATGGCCTGGGTGGTTTCACAATGGCCCTGGGTGGCTTCACGATGGCCGGGGTGACTTCACGATAGCCGGGGTGGCTTCACGATGGCCTGGGGTGACTTCACGATGGCCCTGGGTGGCTTCACGATGGCCTGGTGTGGTTTCACGATGGCCTGGGTGGTTTCATGATGCCCCGGGGTGGTTTCATGATGCCCCGGGGTGGTTTCACGATGGCCCGGGGTGGTTTCATGATGCCCCGGGGTGGTTTCATGGTGGCCGGGGTGGTTTCACGATGGCCCGGGGTGACTTCACGATGGCCTGGGGTGGCTTCGTGATGGCCTGGGGTGACTTCACGATGGCCTGGGGTGACTTCACGATGGCCTGGGGTGGCTTCACGATGGCCTGGGGTGGCTTCACGATGGCCTGGGGTGGCTTCACGATGGCCTGGGTGGCTTCACGATGGCCCGTGGTAGCTTCACGATGGCCGGGGTTGTTTCACGATGCCCCGGGTGGTTTCACGATGGCCTGGGTGGCTTCACGATGGCCTGGGTGGCTTCACGATGGCCTGGGTGGCTTCACGATGGCCTGGGTGGCTTCACGATGGCCCTGGGTGGTTTCACGATGGCCTGGGGTGGCTTCGCGATGCCCTGGGGTGGCTTCACGATGGCCGGGGTGACTTCACGATGGCCGGGGTGGCTTCACAATGGCCTGGGGTGGCTTCACGATGGCCGGGGTGACTTCACGATGGCCCAGGGTGGCTTCACGATGGCCTGGGGTGGCTTCACGATGGCCTGGGGTGGCTTCACGATGGCCTGGGGTGACTTCACGATGGCCCTGGGTGGTTTCACGATGGCCCTGGGTGGCTTCACGATGGCCGGGGTGGTTTCACGATGGCCCTGGGTGGCTTCACGATGGCCTGGGGTGGCTTCACGATGGCCTGGGGTGACTTCACGATGGCCCTGGGTGGCTTCACGATGGCCCTGGGTGGCTTCACGATGGCCGGGGTGGCTTCACGATGGCATGGGTGGCTTCACCATGACCCGGGGTGGTTTCACGATGGCCTGCGGTGGTTTTACGATGGCCCTGGGTGGTTTCACGATGGCCTGGGGTGACTTTACGATGGCCTGGGGTGGCTTCACAATGGCCTGGGGTGACTTTACGATGGCCCGGGGTGGTTTCACGGTGGCCCGCAACGCGTTTGACATCGCACTGACAGCCGACGGATCGTCAGCCACCCACGGCCGTGGCCCGGCTTTGGCCCCCCGAGCCAAATCCGTGCTTCGGCTCGTGCCAGGCGGCGTGGCACGGATCGGTGTGTGGCTCGGCTCGGCAAAACATCCAGTGGAAAAAAACACAACCCTCTCACCCGTGCCGTGCCAGGGGAATGATTGACAGGGGGTGACAGACAGACAGACAGAGGAGGGGGGTAGAGGGAGGTTTGGAGCAGCGGGCGAATGTTTAAAACACATTCCTGCAGATTAATGTTTTCCCCCATTCTCCGGCTGAGTTAATTAGTTAATTAGTCATCAGTGGCCAGCTCGGGCACCGGGGCTCACGTGTCCCGCGTTAGCCGTGCGCGCGTACGGAGAGAATGTTGAGTGTTGGCCTCGGTTTGGTTGTTTGTGTCTGGGTGGTTTGTTTACGGAACCTGACGACCCGAGTTCGACCCATCCCCCACCCCACCCCCTCGACGGCGGCTCTGGGCCACCACCAACACCGGTGACCTGAACTGATCCTGGGCCTCCCCTAGGTCGACTCAGCCTCAAATGAGTACCTGCGAGTAGGATGCGTTAGCGTTGCGTTTGCGTGTGTCTCGGTGATTTGTTTTACCTTCGGCCGAAGGGGGCCGTCCATAAATGACGTCACGCACCTGGGGGGAGGGTCAGACATTTGTGACGATGTGTGACGAGGGGGGGAGGGGGTTTGAGAAATGTGACGTCACGTCAAAATGCGCAACTTTATAAATGAATACAGACAACACGTTCTGCTTAATTAAACAGACTTTTTAATAAATGTTTTCTCCTACAACATCAGAGTTCAGCGCCGCATTAAATGCGCACTACAATGACAACAATAGTTTAAAGCGATTTGAAGCGAGTTTTATATATTTTTTGGGGGGGGGGCAGAGCTATGTGACGTCATATTTGAGGGGGGGGGTCTGACTTTTTGTGACGCCGTGTGACGTAGGGAGGGGGGAGGTCAAAAATCGTCAAAAAATCGCGTGACGTCATTTATGGACGTGAGTAACACTCTATGAAGGAACTAAAGACAAAGGTCCCCCGTGTAGCCTCCAACAGACTGTTGGGGCAAGTGCTGTTAGCGAATAACACTCTATGAAGGAACTAAAGACAAAGGTCCCCCGTGTAGCCTCCAACAGACTGTTGGGGCAAGTGCTGTTAGTGAGTAACACTCTATGAAGGAACTAAAGACAAAGGTCCCCCGTGTAGCCTCCAACAGACTTGGGGCAAGTGCTGTTAGTGAGTAACACTCTATGATGGAACTAAAGACAAAGGTCCCCCGTGTAGCCTCCAACAGACTGTTGGGGCAAGTGCTGTTACTGAGTAACACTCTATGAAGGAACTAAAGACAAAGGTCCCCCGTGTAGCCTCCAACAGACTGTTGGGGCAAGTGCTGTTAGTGAGTAACACTCTATGAAGGAACTAAAGACAAAGGTCCCCCGTGTAGCCTCCAACAGACTTGGGGCAAGTGCTGTTAGTGAGTAACACTCTATGATGGAACTAAAGACAAAGGTCCCCCGTGTAGCCTCCAACAGACTGTTGGGGCAAGTGCTGTTAGTAACACTCTATGAAGGAACTAAAGACAAAGGTCCCCCGTGTAGCCTCCAACAGACTTGGGGCAAATGCTGTTAGTGAGTAACTTTATGAAGGAACTAAAGACAAAGGTCCCCCGTGTAGCCTCCAACAGACTTGGGGCAAGTGCTGTTAGTAACACTCTATGAAGGAACTAAAGACAAAGGTCTCCCGTGTAGCCTCCAACAGACTGTTGGGGCAAGTGCTGTTAGTGAGTAGCACTTTATGAAGGAACTAAAGACAAAGGTCCCCCGTGTAGCCTCCAACAGACTGTTGCGGCAAGTGCTGTTAGTGAGTAACACTTTATGAAGGAACTAAAGACAAAGGTCCCCCGTGTAGCCTCTCAACAGACTGTTGGGGCAAGTGCTATTAGTGGCGAGAAGCAGCAGCACCCTATGAAGGCTGCCGGCAACTGTGGTGACACGAGAGAGGGGGTGTGGGTGGCCAGAAATCCCGGCCGTCTTTGTCTCCCCCAGTGGCGATGCTTACCACACAGCGCACCGGGTAACTCATTTGAGGCTGAGTCGACCTAGGGGAGGAGGCCCAGGACCGGTTCAGACGATCGCTGTCACTGCCCGTGGTGGTGGCCGTGAGCGGGAATCGAACTCGGGTGGTTGCCGGATTCGCAGCGCAGCGCGCTAACCGCTGCGCCACCGCTCCCCACGTTTAAGACCCCCCCCACACCACACACGCGATGTGGTTGTTGTTGTTGCCAGGGCACGTGGTGTTGTTGTTAGGGCACGTGGTGTTGTTATTGTTGTTAGGGCACGTGGTGTTGTTGTTGTTGTTAGGGCACGTGGTGTTGTTGTTGTTAGGGCACGTGGTGTTGTTGTTGTTGTTAGGGCACGTGGTGTTGTTGTTGTTGCCAGGGCACGTGGTGTTGTTGTTGTTAGGGCACGTGGTGTTGTTGTTGTTAGGGCACGTGGTGCTGTTGTTGCCAGGGCACGTGGTGTTGTTGTTGTTAGGGCACGTGGTGTTGTTGTTGCCAGGGCACGTGGTATTGTTGTTGTTGCCAGGGCACGTGGTGTTGTTGTTGTTAGGGCACGTGTTGTTGTTAGGGCACGTGTTGTTGTTGTTGTTGTTGCCAGGGCACGTGGTATTGTTGTTGTTGCCAGGGCACGTGGTGTTGTTGTTGTTGTTGTTGTTGCCAGGGCACGTGTTGTTGTTGTTAGGGCACGTGGTGTTGTTGTTGTTGTTAGGGCACGTGGTGTTGTTGCCAGGGCACGTGGTGTTGTTGTTAGGGCACGTGGTGTTGTTGTTGTTGTTAGGGCACGTGGTGCTGTTGTTGCCAGGGCACGTGGTGTTGTTGTTGTTAGGGCACGTGGTATTGTTGTTGTTGCCAGGGCACGTGGTATTGTTGTTGTTGCCAGGGCACGTGGTGTTGTTGTTGGGGCACGTGTTGTTGTTGTTAGGGCACGTGTTGTTGTTGTTGTTAGGGCACGTGGTATTGTTGTTGTTGCCAGGGCACGTGTTGTTGTTGTTAGGGCACGTGGTGTTGTTGTTAGGGCACGTGTTGTTGTTGTTGTTGCCAGGGCACGTGGTATTGTTGTTGTTGCCAGGGCACGTGGTGTTGTTGTTGTTGTTGTTGTTAGGGCACGTGGTGTTGTTGTTGTTAGGGCACGTGGTATTGTTGTTGTTGCCAGGGCACGTGTTGTTGTTGCCAGGGCACGTGTTGTTGTTGTTGCCAGGGCACGTGGTGTTGTTGTTGTTGCCAGGGCACGTGGTGTTGTTGTTGTTGCCAGGGCACGTGGTGTTGTTGTTGTTAGGGCACGTGGTGTTGTTGTTGTTAGGGCACGTGGTGTTGTTGTTGTTGCCAGGGCACGTGTTGTTGTTGTTGTTGTTAGGGCACGTGGTGTTGTTGTTGTTAGGGCACGTGGTGTTGTTGTTGTTGTTAGGGCACGTGGTGTTGTTGTTGTTGTTAGGGCACGTGGTGTTGTTGTTGCCAGGGCACGTGGTGTTGTTGTTAGGGCACGTGGTGTTGTTGTTGTTAGGGCACGTGGTGCTGTTGTTGCCAGGGCACGTGGTGTTGTTGTTAGGGCACGTGGTGTTGTTGTTGCCAGGGCACGTGGTATTGTTGTTGTTGCCAGGGCACGTGGTGTTGTTGTTGTTGGGGCACGTGTTGTTGTTGTTAGGGCACGTGTTGTTGTTGTTGCCAGGGCACGTGGTATTGTTGTTGTTGCCAGGGCACGTGGTGTTGTTGTTGTTGTTAGGGCACGTGGTGTTGTTGTTGTTAGGGCACGTGTTGTTGTTGTTGCCAGGGCACGTGGTATTGTTGTTGTTGCCAGGGCACGTGTTGTTGTTGCCAGGGCACGTGTTGTTGTTGTTGCCAGGGCACGTGGTGTTGTTGTTGTTGCCAGGGCACGTGGTGTTGTTGTTGTTAGGGCACGTGGTGTTGTTGTTGTTGCCAGGGCACGTGGTGTTGTTGTTGTTAGGGCACGTGGTGTTGTTGTTGCCAGGGCACGTGTTGTTGTTGTTGTTGCCAGGGCACGTGGTGTTGTTGTTGTTAGGGCACGTGTGTTGTTGTTGTTAGGACACGTGTTGTTGTTAGGGCACGTGTTGTTGTTGTTGTTGTTGCCAGGGCACGTGTTGTTGTTAGGGCACGTGGTGTTGTTGTTGTTAGGGCACGTGGTGTTGTTGTTGTTGCCAGGGCACGTGTTGTTGTTGTTGCCAGGGCACGTGGTGTTGTTGTTGTTAGGGCACGTGGTGTTGTTGTTGTTGTTGTTGTTAGGGCACGTGGTGTTGTTGTTAGGGCACGTGTTGTTGTTGTTAGGGCACGTGGTGTTGTTGTTGTTGCCAGGGCACGTGGTGTTGTTGTTGTTAGGGCACGTGTTGTTGTTGTTGTTGTTAGGGCACGTGGTGTTGTTGTTGTTGTGCACCCAAGCCAAGGCAGCAGCGTTGGCTGCTGTGGTCCACGGCGTGGCAGCGCCTGTCCCTGTTGGAGGGGCTCCCTACCTCAAGGCATTTCATTTTGTAGGAATTTCCCCCCAGGGAGGCAAACGCAGGGTGCTTTGTGCTTTAAGGGGGCCGTCCATAAATGACGTCACGCGATTTTGGACGATTTTTGACCACCCCCCTCCCTCCCTACATCACACGGCGTCACGAAAAGTCAAAGCTCTGCCCCCCACCCACACCCCAAAATAAAACACGCTTCCCATCGCTTTAAACTATTATTGTCATTGTAGTAGTGCGTATTTAATGTGGCGCTGCACTCTGATGTTGTAGGAGAAAACATTTATTAAAAAGTCTGTTTAATTAAGTAGAACGTGTTGTCTGTATTTATTTAAAGTTGCGCATTTTGATGTGACGTCACATTTCTAAAACACCCCCCCCCTCCACCCCGTCACACATCGTCACAAATGTCTGACCCCCCCTAGCTGCGTGACGTCATTTATGGACGGCCCCTTTCGGCCAAAACCGAAAGTATGCCGAAAGATAACAACAAACCCTGTGTCCTGACTTTTGGGCCACCCTGTATAACAACAAACCCTGTGTCCTGACTTTTGGGCCACCCTGTATAACAACAACCCCTGTGTCCTGACTTTTGGGCCACCCTGTGTAATAACAACCCCTATGTGTCCTGACTTTTGGGCCACCCTGTATAATAACAACTCCTATGTGTCCTGACTTTTGGGCCACCTTCTATAATAACAACCCCTATGTATCCTGACTTTTGGGCCACCCTGTATAACAACCCCTGTGTGTCCTGACTTTTGGGCCACCCTGTATAACAACAACCCCTGTGTGTCCTGACTTTTGGGCCACCCTGCATACTACACCGCCAATCGGCAAGTCACCGCGTGTGGTGGGGTAACGTGCGGGTAACCGCGTAGGGGAGCTGTCGCTGAAGGCGTCTCGCTGTAGGGAGGAGGAGGTGTCGACTCTTCTCCCTGCTCGTAGACCCTGTTCTCCTCACCCCAGGCCTGAGCCTCGGGCTCGCCTGGTGGCGGGAGGTCGTAGGGCACGGGGAGGTCGGGCCGGGCCCAGGGAGAGGCCTGGTATGGGGGAGGGAAGTCGGGGCGTCTGAGGGAGGAGTGGAGGGGTTTGGGGGGAGAGATGGAGACATTGTTATGGACAGCGGGAGAGTTGGAAACAGCGGGCTGGGGTGTTTGGGCAAGAGGGTGGGCGAGCGAGTGGCCACGTGGAGGAGAGGCTGCCGGCTGCTCTGTCGGGAGCTGGACCGGTAACCGCCTGGATCTCCCAACTCGCCATTGGTGACGGGGCGGTTGTGGAGAGGGTGGAGAGGTTTCCAATACCTGGGCAGTGTTGCTCATTACCGGCTCCGGTTTGACAGCAGAGGTCTCACTCCGAATCAGTCGAGCGGCAATATCTTTTCATCGGTTGCGTAACGCTGTGTGGAAGCTGACTGGTCTGTCGCTCCGTACGAAGCTTCAAGTCTTCTCGGCCACGGTCATGCCCTCCCTTCTATACGCTTGCGAAACGTGAACCCTACTAATGGAACATCTTCGCCTGGTATACACATTCAGATTGGCCTGCCTACTATTTATCCTGAGTTTAACCAGGCTGGACTGTGTCCGTACATTTGGACAGTCCCATCAGTGAGCTCGTCTGGCAGGCAATGACGTGTTGGCTGGGTCATTTAGCCGCATGCCCAGCCACCGCATGCCCAAGCAGCTTTTGTTCAGTCATGGATAGAGGAGGCTAAACGGGCATGGCACGGGCTTAGATAAGACATGGAATTATGTTATGAGAGGATGTGGAGCTGAGTGGACTTGCCGATGACTGGAACCAGCGGTGTCAAGATCGGCCTCTGTGGAGGAGGCTCGTGAAGGACGCTGCTGCTACTGGCCAGTTGAAGGCAGCAACAACAGAGAGCAGAAGAGCGACGCTCACAACAATGAGTTGAGCGCCGGGTGGCTAAAACGCAAGTTGGCACCTCGTAAGGGGCATCTGCTTATCAACCCATATGGCACCTGGGTCTGTCCTGTGACCTCCTGTCAGCGGACCTTCGACACTTCACGTGGCTTTAACATGCACATATCCTGGCACAAGCGTTATGGTGACATCACTGCCAATTAGTGGCCAATGGTGGTTGTTGTTGTTGAGCGGGTAGGTGAGGGGTGTTTCAGTGACTGGGTGAGTGATTGTGTGGCCAATGGTGGTTGTTGTTGTTGAGCGGGTAGGTGAGGGGTAATTCAGTGACTGGGTGAGTGATTGAGTGGCCAATGGTGGTTGTTGTTGTTGTTGAGCGGGTAGGTGAGGGGTGTTTCAGTGACTGGGTGATTGTGTGGCCAATGGTGGTTGTTGTTGTTGAGCGGGTAGGTGAGGGGTAATTCAGTGACTGGGTGAGTGATTGAGTGGCCAATGGTGGTTGTTGTTGTTGTTGTTGAGCGGGTAGGTGAGGGGTAATTCAGTGAATGGGTGAGTGATTGAGTGGCCAATGGTGGTTGTTGTTGTTGTTGAGCGGGTAGGTGAGGGGTAATTCAGTGACTGGGTGAGTGATTGAGTGGCTGAGTGAGCTAACAGGTCAGGGAGACGGCAGGTGATTCGGTGGGCGGTGAGCGGTTGAGTGGGTCAGTGAGCCTGCGGGTGAGCGGGTTGGTGAGCGAGTGGGTGAGCGAGCGAGCGAGTAGCTGAGTGAGTGATTGAGTGGGTCGGTGAGCCCACGGGTGAGCGAGCGGGTCGGTTGAGCGAGTGGGTGAGCGAGTCGCTGAGTGAGCGATTGAGCAGTGTCAGTAAGCCCGCGGGTGAGCGAGCGAGTCGGTTGAGCGAGTGGGTGAGCGAGTCGCTGGGTGAACGATTGAGTGGGTCGGTGAGCCTACGGGTGAGCGAGCGGGTCGGTTGAGCGAGCGGGTGAGCGAGTCGCTGAGTGATTGAGCAGTGTCAGTGAGCCTACGGGTGAGCGAGCGGGTCGGTGAGCGAGCGGGTGAGCGAGTCGCTGAGTGAGCGATTGAGCAGTGTCAGTGAGCCCGCGGGTGAGCGAGCGGGTCGGTGAGCGAGCGGGCTTCATCGGGCAGTGGAGTGATCACCTGCGCGAGGAGGAGGACCAGGTGGATGGAGTCTGCGGGGCCCCACATCGCAGGGACAGGGCCGCCATGAGCACCAGGCCCAGGCCCACACAGGTGAGACCGTAGGCCAAGGCGCCCAGCCCCTCGCGGGGGGCCGGGGGGCCCAGGGCACCACCGCAGGGGGTCCCGCCGGGGGTCCCGCAGGTGACCCAGAGGGCACGGCAGGGGTCCGTGCTGTGCGGGGCAGACGAGGGCCCGCAGAGGGGGGCGCAGGGAGCACTTCGGGGGTTGCAGGCGGTCCCGCAGGTCGTACAGGTATCTGCCCCGGGGGCAATTATAACAGCGCACGCGTCTGCCCCCGGGGCACAGGTAACGGCGCACGCGTCCGCCCCGGGGGCACAGGCAACGCAGGCGACAACACACGCGCCTGCCAATGGGGCGCAGGCGATGCCGGCGACAACGCACGCGTCTGCCAATGGGGCGCAGGCAACGCAGGCGACAACACACGCGCCTGCCAATGGGGCGCAGGCGATGCCGGCGACAACGCACGCGTCTGCCAATGGGGCGCAGGCGACGCCGGCGACAACACACGCGTCTGCCAATGGGGCGCAGGCGACGCAGGCGACAACGCACGCGCCTGCCAATGGGGCGCAGGCGACGCAGGCGACGGCGCACGCGCCCGCCCCGGGGGCGCTGTCGCCAGGGGCTCGTCCCCCGGACCCCCCGGCCGCCAGCAGGAAGGCGCCCGCGCAGGCGCACAGCAGCCCCATGGCGAGCGCGGCGTGGCGAGCTCGCAGCGCCGCCCGGTGCCGGCCACGCGGCGGCGAGGACGTCGAAGGCCGCCGGGACGGCGGCGGCGACGGCGGCGGCGGCAGGGGTCCGAGCGGCTGAAGTTGCGTCGGGAGGAAGAGCTGCGGGAGACGCGACGGCGCCGCCGCTGTTGACGACTCAAATGAATAGGGAGGAGGCGGCGGCGGCGGCGGCGGTGCCGAAGGTGGTCGTGATGGGAATGGTTGAGGCGGTGATTGTGACGTCTGTTGCGGCGGTTGAGTTGACGATAACGATGGCGACGATGGTAGCGGTGGTGACGATGGTGGTGGTCGTGGCAATGGTGACAATGGTGATGGTGGCGGTTCAGCTGACGGTGTTGATGGGAGCCGTGGTGATGCCAGTTGCGGCGATGGTGGCACTGGTGATGAGTGCGATGCGAATGGTAATGTGAAAACTGACGATGGCGATGGTGGAGGCGGCGGTGATGGCTGTGACACTGCAGGTGAGAATGAGGCTGCTGGCGATGGCATCAGTGAGGATGGTAACGATGTCAGCGTGCACAGACACGACGTTGAGAGTGATGGTGACGATGTTGAGGGTGATGGTGATGATGTCGATGATGTTGATAGTGATGGTGACGATGTCGATGATGTTGATAGTGACGATGTCGATGATGTTGAGAGTGATGGTGACGATGTCGACGATGTTGAGGGTGGAGCCTCGTCATCCATCTTTCCCCTCATTTAATTTTGCCCCCAGGGCAGCTAATGCCCCCTTAATGCCTCTGGGGCAAATGAAGATCCTGTGATGGATCAGATGAAGCTTCTGTGATGGATCAGATGGAACTCCTGTGATTAATTAGAATAAACTCCTGTGATGGATCAGATGAAGCTTCTGTGATGAATCAGATGGAACTCCTGTGATTAATTAGAATAAACTTGTGATGGATCAGATGAAGCTTCTGTGATGAATCAGATGAAGCTTCTGTGATGAATCAGATGAAGCTTCTGTGATGAATCAGATTAAGCTTCTGTGATGAATCAGATGAAGCTTCTGTGATGAATCAGATGAAGTTCCAGTGTTAACTCAGACGAAGCTGCAGTCTTGGGAGTAGGTGTATTCCGTCTGCCGTAGGAGCGACTGACCCGCTGTTGTGCACACACACACACGCGCACTTTTAAATATATAACTTAACCCTCAGTGCGCCCTTAATGGGCAACTGGAGTCGTTAATGAATGACGAAATCAAAACGTGCGGCAGGGGTGGCGGACAAGGGTCGCCCTCCCATCCCGCCTCTGTCCCCTGCCCTCCCACCCAGTCGTCAATGCCCTCCGAGCACCCGGATGTTAAATATTCTATAATAATAAGCATGTATAAACGACAGATATTATCCACAATGGAGGTTTTTTTTTTGGGGTGAGATCTCGTAAATATAAATGCGTCGTTAAACATAGGTCTCTGTGCAAGTCTATGGGTCTCTGTGTGAGTCTATAGGTCTCTGTGCAAGTCTATGGGTCTCTGTGTGAGCCTATGGGTCTCTGTGTGAGTCTATGGGTCTCTGTGAGTCTATGGGTCTCTGTGAGTCTATAGGTCTCTGTGTGAGTCTATGGGTCTCTGTGTGAGTCTATGGGTCTCTGTGCAAGTCTATGGGTCTCTGTGTGAGTCTATGGGTCTCTGTGTGAGTCTATGGGTCTCTGTGCGAGTCTATGGGTCTCTGTGCAAGTCTATGGGTCTCTGTGCGAGTCTATGGGTCTCTGTGTGAGTCTATGGGTCTCTGTGTGAGTCTATGGGTCTCTGTGTGAGTCTATGGGTCTCTGTGTGAGTCTATGGGTCTCTGTGGGAGTCTATGGGTCTCTGTGTGAGTCTATGGGTCTCTGTGTGAGTCTATGGGTCTCTGTGCAAGTCTATGGGTCTCTGTGTGAGTCTATGGGTCTCTGTGTGAGTCTATGGGTCTCTGTGCGAGTCTATGGGTCTCTGTGCGAGTATGTGGGTCTCTGTGCGAGTATGTGGGTCTCTGTGTGAGTCTATGGGTCTCTGTGAGTCTATGGGTCTCTGTGTGAGTCTATGGGTCTCTGTGTGAGTCTATGGGTCTCTGCGCAAGTCTATGGGTCTCTGTGAGTCTATGGGTCTCTGTGAGTCTATGGGTCTCTGTGTGAGTCTATGGGTATCTGTGCAAGTCTATGGGTCTCTGTGAGTTTGGGTTTCTATGCTACTCTACGGGTCTCTGTGTGAGTCTATGGGTCTCTGTGCAAGTCTATGGGTCTCTGCGAGTTTGGGTTTCTATGCTACTCTATGGGTCTCTGTGCAAGTCTATGGGTCTCTGTGTGAGTCTATGGGTCTCTGTGAGTTTGGGTTTCTATGCTACTCTATGGGTCTCTGTGAGTCTATGGGTATCTGTACAAGTCTATGGGTCTCTGTGAGTTTGGGATTCTATGCTACTCTATGGGTCTCTGTGAGTCTATGGGTCTCTGTGTGAGTCTATGGGTCTCTGTGCAAGTCTGTGGGTCTCTGTGAGTTTTGATTTCTATGCTACTCTATGGGTCTCTGTGCAAGTCTATGGATCTCTGTGAGTTTGGGTTTCTATGCTACTCTATGGGTATCTGTGAGTCTATGGGTCTCTGTGCGAGTCTATGGGTCTCTGTGAGTCTATGGGTCTCTGTGAGTCTATGGGTCTCTGTGTGAGTCTATGGGTCTCTGTGCCAGTCTGGGTTTCTATACGAGTCTATGGGTCTCTGTGCGAGTCTGTGGGTCTCTATGCGAGTCTGGGTCTCTATGCGAGTCTATGGGGTTTCTATACGAGTCTATGGGTCTCTGTGCGAGTCTATGGGTTTCTATGGGTCTCTATGCCCCCCCCCCCACCCACCCAGTGGCTCAATGCTCTCAGAGCACCCGGCGGAGATGAATGCCCCCAAGGCAAGTTAGATCGACGTCCTCTCGCTTGGTGTCGTCCAGTTGAACATGCGGCAGTAGCTGGAGGCTTGAGGCAGTAGCTGGTGGCTTGAGGCAGTAGCTGGAGGCTTGAGGCAGTAGCTGGAGGCTTGAGGCAGTAGCTGGAGGCTTGCTAGGCAGTAGCTGGAGGCTTGTGAGGCGGTAGCTGGAGGCTTGTGAGGCAGTAGCTGGAGGCTTGAGGCAGTAGCTGGAGGCTTGTGAGGCGGTAGCTGGAGGCTTGAGGCAGTAGCTGGAGGCTTGAGGCAGTAGCTGGAGGCTTGAGGCGGTAGCTGGAGGCTTGAGGCAGTAGCTGGAGGCTTGCTAGGCAGTAGCTGGAGGCTTGCTAGGCAGTAGCTAGAGGCTTGTGAGGCAGTAGCTGGAGGCTTGCTAGGCAGTAGCTGGAGGCTTGAGGCAGTAGCTGGAGGCTTGAGGCAGTAGCTGGAGGCTTGAGGCAGTAGCTGGAGGCTTGTGAGGCGGTAGCTGGAGGCTTGAGGCAGTAGCTGGAGGCGTTCGCTGCCGATATTATCCACGACGGAGGGTTTTGGTGGGTTGTAACGCGCTGATATTAACGCGTACACGTTAAACCCGCCATCCACAACCACCACCACCACGTGACACGGCCAATTGGTCAAGGTTTGCGTCACGTGAGTAAAACGTTGGCCAATCCGTGACTAGTTCAGCACCCCCGGTGCTGTTGGGAGAGCACGCGGATTGTAAAATTCTGCAGCGGGTTTACTCTCCACAGCACCGGCTAGTGCTGTACTTAGTTACCACGTTCCGTTCACGTGACACACAACCTTACTGATTGACTGCGTCGGGTGGTGGAGGGGTTTTAACGGCGCTTATTAACGCGACCTAGACCAGGAAAAGCCTCCATTACGGAGTTGTTGGTGTTGTTAACTCTGCTCGTGAAGCCAGGTTAAGCCTCGCCGGTGTTTCACTCTTTCTCAGAATCGGCGGTCATTACTGCAGGAGGAGGAATCCGATGGAGCGACGCTTCTTAGTGCTACGGGAATAATCCCAACAACAACACAAACACCACGTGGACACGGGGCAGACAATGGCGGAGCCAGGATTTTCAGGTAGGAGGGGGGGGGGAACAACCCCTCCAGCAATGAATAATTATAGAGGAGTTGTTAGTAAGGAGTTGTTAGTGAGTGAGGAGTTGTTAGCAAGGAGTTGTTAGTAAGGAGTTGTTAGTGAGCGAGGAGTTGTTAGTAAGGAGTTGTTAGCAAGTTGTTAGTGAGTTGTTAGTAAGGGCTTTGTTAGTAAGGAGTTGTTAGTGAGGAGTCGTTAGTAAGTAAGGAGTTGTTAGTAAGGAGTTGTTAGTAAGGAGTTGTTAGTAAGGGGTTGTTGGTAAGGAGTTGTTAGTAAGGAGTTGATAGTAAGTAATTGTTAGCAAGGAGTTGTTAGTAAGGAGTTGTTAGTAAGTTGTTGTAAGGAGTTGTTAGTAAGGAGTTGTTAGTGAGTAAGGGGTTGTTAGTAAGGAGTTGTTAGCAAGTAAGGAGTTGTTAGTAAGTAAGGAGTTGTTAGTAAGGAGTTAGTGAGTAAGGGGTTGTTAGTAAGGAGTTGTTAGTGAGTAAGGGGTTGTTAGTAAGGGGTTGTTAATAAGTAAGGAGTTGTTAGTAAGTAGTTGTTAGTAAGGAGTTGTTAGTAAGGACTTGTCCTTTGCTTGTTACTCGCCGCGTGTGCGACGATGGGGCAGCCATCGATCGAGGGTCGAATTCGCACCGCGTTGTTAGTGATCGGCATCGCGCTCGCTGAAGGTGTCGATGCCTTCAGGGAAGTCGTGGACTCTGTAGACGCAACTGCGCACAATTCTGTGAGTCGCTTGTAACCGCTTTGCCGTCACTTATTGCCAATTGTGGACTCAAGACTCTTGTCCTATCATCTCAGAGTCTCTGGCACGTCATAATATGCTACGCAGTGGGAGTCGCAAAATTCCGATTTATTACTAATAAATCCCAAAGATCCGATAGAAATTAGGGATATCGATCGGATCATTGGGGGGGAGGCAGCACGTGCCACCCCACCGGAGCCAGTGGGGGCAGATCTTCCTCATCTGCATCACCACAACCTCGGGCACAACCTCCCGGAAGCAATCCGCACACTCGGACTCATCATCGTCACGACAGTCACAACTCGACCACAACAACACGGCCCTTTGTTAAGATAATTTGTGTTACGAGTGGGAGTCAGTGGGTCTCTACGAGTCTGGGTTTCTAAGCGAGTCTATGGGTCTCTGTGAGTCTACGGGTCTCTGTGCGAGTCTACGGGTCTCTGTGCGAGTCTACGGGTCTCTGTGCGAGTCTACGGGTCTCTGTGCGAGTCTACGGGTCTCTGTGCGAGTCTACGGGTCTCTGTGCGAGTCTACGGGTCTCTGTGCGAGTCTATGGGTCTCTGCGCGAGTCTACGGGTCTCTGTGCGAGTCAGTCTATCTCTACGTTGTCTCTACTAGTCCCTACGGGTTAACTTCCCCACGGGTTAACCCACCACACCTTCTGGCACAACCTCCCCGAGGCCATCCCGCACGCTATTCCCAACTCCACCGTTCCTCGCCGCTCAACAACCACGCCTCTCGACACCCGCAACCGTGGCACGCTACTTTAATGACCATCGTCCTCACAGGCGACCGCCGCGTGCACACCGCCGCGTACACACCGCCACGTACACACCGCCGCGACGCGGGCTACAGTCGACACGGGCTACAGGCGACGCGTCCCTCCGACCGGCAGCGTACGGCGGCGGTTCCTAACCTTTTACTCGCAGCCTTGCACCACCCCTTTTGGTTCCCGAATATCGACGACTTGCTCTCCGGGGAAATGTGGCCATTGCCACTGCCACGCATCCCCCAGGGGGTGGGTGCGCGGTTAACACCCCGGGGCGAGAACCACCGCTCGATGCGCACGCGAAGTCGGCCAAGAGCCCTCCGCACTCCGCTGCCTGTCGACACGAGCCTCTATTGAGACGCGGAAGGCCACGTGCGACCCACGGCCGGTGACGATGGGTAATGCAGGCGCGTCACCGGCTTCACAACCACCGGGCGTGTGAACCTTGTGGAGGGACCCCCCGGGGGGGGGGGGGGTCCCCGTAAGCCCCCCGGGCTCTCGCTTAAACTGCACTGCGACGTCACTTCACGTCTGCCTGCCGAAGGCGCGAACGCCGCGGCGATCTGCACCCCCTCGGCGAGCCCCGCGCGATGGCTCCAAGCGCCGTCGTGCCGACAGTTCCGTTCCTTCACCTGAAGAAGGCCACTTGTGTTGCGGCCGAAACGTCGTGAGAATTTGATTTCGTGGCGTTTCATTTTTATCACTTTGCTTCCATCCTACGTGGTGGCTTTACCGAAGCAACCAAGAAGACGAATCCCTGCAGTCACGAAAGCTTTACATCGAAATTTAGGCTCTAATCAAAGTTTGGTTTGTGACTCCGCGTGCTTGGTGAAGAACGAGGAGAGGATTGATTATCCGGTGGGTCGCGGCGTTGGTGTGCGCGCGCGGTGGGGGACGGAGCCGCCAAAAATAAATACGTTACGATTTCGAATTCCGTTCACTCGGGACCCCGGGGGTCCCCGCCACAAGGTTCACATATCTACAGCGACGTTCCAATATCAACGCCGCAGTGGAGAGAGTCGTGAACACGTCTTCCGCCGGCACCACTCAGAACACGTTTGAATGGAGCTGGTGGGACCCCCCCTCGCCACCCCCCCTCCCTCCCTCCCACCCCCCTCCACCCCACCCCCCTCCACCCCACCCCTCCACCCGTTGGATCGCAAGTACGAGTCGTGACAAAAAAAGATCAAATCAATCGCCCCACCACCCCAGCAACGTTTGTCATTCCGCCGTTGCGACTTTGACACGAGCCGGTGCAGATGCCCGGGTGCCGGGGACCGGTCCGTGGAAACGGATGTCGTGCTCGTTACAGACGCGCACGCACACACACACACACGCGCAGACACACGCACACACACACGCAGAGACATGCACGCACACGCAGATACACGCACGCACACACACACACACACACGCAGATACACGCGCACACGCAGATACACACACACGCAGATACACACACACGCAGATACACGCGCACGCACACACACGCGCACGCACACACACGCACGCACACACACACACGCACACACGCAGATACACACACGTACGCGCGCACACGCAAATACACGCGCGCACGCACAAAGTGCTCGGCCTGCAAATGAACCACCGCAAGGAGCGTAAACCATCACCACACCAACTCCGCTCATCCTCCCCAGCGGCAAGCAGCAGCAGCAGCGGCGGCGGCGGTGGCTTTTGGCTAGCCGTCAAACAAAGTCGGTCACTCCGGTCGCTTGCCGAAAGTCCACCGCCTCCCTGCGACTCTTCTATCGCTATTGCCATGGTTGCTGTTGGCTCCTCGTCAAGAAGCATAAACCACCACCACACCAACTCCCGTCATTCTCGCAGCAGCAGCAAGCAGCGGCAACAGCTTTTGGCTAGCCGTCAAACAAAGTTGGTCCACTGGATCGTGCGGTGCTTTCAGATGAGCTTCTGTGGCCGTCTGATATTGGGAAATCACTGGGGCTATGCAGTGTGCGAGTCTGTACGAGTCTGTGGGTCTCCGTACGAGTCTAGAGGCCTCCTCCGCTACTTTCCTAACCCCCGAGTACCCTCGATCGTATTCCCACTACCTCGCCGATCTCGTAAAGCAGCGTAAAGCATCATCACGCCAACTGGGGTGATCCTACCAGCAGCAGCACCAGCAGCAGCTTTTGGCTAACCATCGAACAATGGCGGCGGTCACTGCATTGCCCGGTGCTTTCAGATGCGCTCCTGCGGCCGTCTGGAACGCTCTTCCTTCCGATATTACGAAGCTGCCGGAGAAGCCATGCACTTTTAAATCATCCAGATTGACAAACTCATTTTATTTAGAACTGTTTTTGCGTTCAGTTTGTTGTCTTTCCCCGCAAACCCCACCCCCGGATGAGCACGGCTGGCTACGTACGGTGTGAAGGAATCTTGATGCTCTTTGGTTCTCTTGGCAAAGCCACCAGGTGTAGAAATAAAAGAAAATAATTCGATCGCAACACGGAATTTTCTTGCTGTGGGTGTTCCACGCGACGAGGATCGCTCGCGTTGCGATCGAAACGTCGCTATTTGTTTTATGTTACTTCTACCTACGTGACTTTACCGAAAGAAGCAAAGAGTTTGGTGTGAAAGAGGTTCAACATAGACACAGGGCTACCTCCGAGAGCTGTTAACGCGAACCTCTGGACCGCAGACGGCAGGGGGCAGTGCTGTGCTGCCCTGGAACTGTGGCGAGGACTGTAACGCTCATTGCACGGCGGTTAAAACTCAACTTTGAATTTGCTAGAGGTGGAATTTCGCCAGATTAGGTACAGAATCGCATTGAATGTGACCAGCATTTTACTGTGCTGTCGTTAGTGACCATCAACTCACTACGTATGAGAAACGATTTATTTACAACCATGTGTACGCAAGTCCGCGGGCCTCTGTGCGAGTCCGCGGGTCTCTGTGTGAGTCTGCAGGTCTCTGTGCGAGTCCGCGGGTCTCTGTGCGAGTCTGTGAGTCTCTGTGCGAGTCCGCGGGTCTCTGTGTGAGTCCGCGGGTCTCTGTGTGTCTGTGGGTCTCTGTGCGAGGCTGCGGGTCTCTGTGTGAGTCTGTAGGTCTCTGTGCGAGTCCGCGGGTCTCTGTGCGAGTCCGCGGGTCTCTGTGCGAGTCCGTGGATCTCTGTGTGAGTCTACGGGTCTCTGTGCGAGTCTGCAGGTCTCTGTGCGAGTCCGCGGGTCTCTGTGTGAGTGTGACACTCTCTGTGAGTCTCTCTGTGAGTCTGCGGGTCTCTGTGCGAGTCTGCGGGTCTCTGTGTGAGTCTGCGGGTCTCTGTGCGAGTCTGCGGGTCTCTGTGCGAGTCTGTGGGTCTCTGTGCGAGTCTGCGGGTCTCTGTGTGACTGTGACACTCTGTGAGTCTCTCTGTGAGTCTGTAAGTCTCTGTGCGAGTCTGTGAGTCTCTCTGTGAGTCTGCGGGTCTCTGTGCGAGTCTGCGGGTCTCTGTGCGAGTCTGCGGGTCTCTGTGCGAGTCTGCGGGTTTCTCTGTGAGTCTGCGGGTCTCTGCGTGAGTCTGTAGGTCTCTGTGCGAGTCCGCGGGTCTCTGTGCAAGTCTGTGGGTCTCTGTGCGAGTCTGCGGGTCGCTGTGCGAGTCTGCGGGTCTCTGTGCAAGTCTGTGGGTCTCTGTGTGAGTGTGACACTGTGAGTCTCTCTGTGAGTCTGCGGGTCTCTGTGCGAGTCCGCGGGTCTCTATGCGAGTCCGCGGGTCTCTGTGTGAGTGTGACACTCTCTGTGAGTCTCTCTGAGTCTGTAGGTCTCTGTGCGAGTCTACGGGTCTCTGTGCGAGTCCGCGGGTCTCTGTACGAGTCCGCGGGTCTCTGTGCGAGTCTACGGATCTATGTGCAAGTCACTGGTGACCGGGGTGAGAACCCGGTTAAATGATCATGGTTGGGTGACTGAAACCCGGATTGGAGCCCAGGATCTCGGCAGTGCCGGGCACCCTGACCTCTGAGCCATCCGGCCAACACCTCTTGTTGCTGTAGCTGCTGCATAGCCGCCGCTGAAGACGCTGCAGATGCTGCACACATATCTGTTGGCTCTGTCGCTGCTGTACAGCTGCTGCTGTAGACACTGTAGACGCTCTTGATTTGAGGCTTTCGCGACTGCAGGAATCCACACGCTTCGATTCTCCCCTGAAAGTCACGCAGGTGACTCTTAACGGAAGAACCAAGGAGCGCTGTAGACGTATCCGTCGCTAGTTTTTTTTCTTCTTCATGAGGCAGATCCCAGGCGCAGACTCCCTCCGCTTGCGCTGCGGGGTCGGTGGGAGAGATTTCAGAGGCCCAAACGTGAGAAATGCAACGTCGAACATCACCCTGCCCCCCCCCCCCCACCGGGCCTTGATAGGCGCTCGCTAACAGCGCTCGGGCGATCTTTCACCAGCCCTCTCCTCCCGTCTCACTCGCCCACCCCACTCTCGATAACGCCGCATTTTAAATGGTCTCACACGCTCGTCCACAAAGACTCCCCCTCCCCCCCCCCCCGTGTAGCCTTAGCAGGCTGTTGGGGGCAAGTGCTGTTAGCGGGGAGCACCGCCTATGAAGGCCGGCACGGCACACGGGGGGGTGTGTGGCCAACACAGCGCCTGCCCGCCTTTGTCTCCCCTGCAGTGATGTTTACACACTGCACCAGGTGCTCATTTGAGGCCGATCTCGGGGAGGAGGCCATGAATTGATTGAGATAATCGTCACTCTCCCCACAAGCACACACACACCGCACACACACCGCACACACACCCCACACACACCCCACACACACCCCACACACACACACCCACCCCCACATCCCACACCCCACACACACCCACCCCCACATCCCACACCCCACACACACCCACCCCCACACCCCACACCCCACACACACCCACCCCCACACCCCACACACACACACACCCACCCCCACACCCCACACACACCCACACACCCCACACCCCACACACACCCACACACCCACCCCCACACCCCACACACACCCACCCCCACACCCCACACACACCCCCACACCCCACACACCCACCCACCCCCACACCCCACACACACACCCACCCACCCCCACACCCCACACACACACCCACCCACCCCCACACCCCACACACACACCCACTCACCCCCACACCCCACACACACACCCACTCACCCACTCACCCCCACACCCACCCCACACACACCCCCACACACACACCCCACACACACACACCCCCACACCCCACACCCCCACACCCCACACACACACCCCCACACTCCACACACACCCCCACACCCCACACCCCACACACACCCTCACACACACACCCCCACACCCACCACCCCCACACACACCCCACACCGCACACACGCACCCCCATACACACCCCCACACCCCACACACACCCCCACACCCACCCCCACACCCCCCACACCCACCCCACACACACACACCCCACACACACACTCCCACACACACACACACCCCACACCCCCACACCCCCCACACACTCTCCGTGTCTCGTGTGGTTTGGTACCGAGACGTTTGCCCCCATGACGTCCGCGAGTCCGTCGGAGCGAGCGGCGTCTGCGGACTGCAACTCTCCGTCTGAGACGTGCACAGGCAGGGGGCGACACGGTGCAGAGACGGGATCGGAGCTTGACGTCAGGCTGGAGCTTGAGGAATCCGATGAGCTATAAAGCTCTTTTTCACAAAGGCAAATATAAAATACACACGGAGATGGGGGGGACGGGGTGGGAGCGGGGCCGGATTGAGGTTCTTGTAGGCCCTAGACGCTTCTGTTTTTTTAAGCCTTCAGCGATAACTTTACGGCTGATTACTGCTGCCCCATGTCACCACTGCTACCGCCGGCTGTCACTCCGCTTGTTGCACGGTGTACATTCGTTGGCACTTTCTACAATTGGTAGGGCTGGATTAAAGTTCTTGAAGGACCTCGTTACTTCTGTCTACTAAGTCTTCAGTGATAACGCGACAGTTGGTACTGCTGCCCCATGGCACTACTGTAATGACAGTAGAGTCAGCCTGCAGTGCGAGTGGACTAGGAGGTAATGGCAGGGGAGTCAGCCTGCAGTGCGAGTGGACTAGGAGGTAATGGCAGGGGAGTCAGCCTGCAGTGCGAGTGGACTAGCGGCCACAAGAGGTAATGGCAGGGGAGTCAGCCTGCAGTGCGAGTGGACTGGTGGCCACAGGAGGTAATGGCAGGGGAGCCAGCCTGCAGTGCGAGTGGACTGGCGGCCACAGGAGGTAATGACAGGGGAGTCAGCCTGCAGTGCGAGTGGACTGGTGGCCACAGGAGGTAATGGCAGGGGAGTCAGCCTGCAGTGCGAGTGGACTAGCGGCCACAAGAGGTAATGGCAGGGGAGTCAGCCTGCAGTGCGAGTGGACTGGCGGCCACAGGAGGTAATGGCAGGGGAGCCAGCCTGCAGTGCGAGTGGACTAGCGGCCACAGGAGGTAATGACAGGGGAGTCAGCCTGCAGTGCGAGTGGACTGGCGGCCACAGGAGGTAATGGCAGGGGAGCCAGCCTGCAGTGTGAGTGGACTAGGGGTCACAGGAGGTAATGGCAGGGGAGTCAGCCTGCAGTGCGAGTGGACTAGTGGCCACAGGAGGTAATGACAGGGGAGTCAGCCTGCAGTGCGAGTGGACTGGCGGCCACAGGAGGTAATGGCAGGGGAGTCAGCCTGCAGTGCGAGTGGACTAGGAGGTAATGGCAGGGGAGTCAGTCTGCAGTGCGAGTGGACTAGGAGGCAATGGCAGGGGAGTCAGCCTGCAGTGCGAGTGGACTAGGAGGTAATGGCAGGGGAGTCAGCCTGCAGTGCGAGTGGACTAGGAGGTAATGGCAGGGGAGTCAGCCTGTAGTGCGAGTGGACTAGCGGCCACAGGAGGCAATAGGGGAGTCAGCCTGCAGTGCGAGTGGACTAGCGGCCACAAGAGGTAATGGCAGGGGAGTCAGCCTACAGTGCGAGTGCACTGGTGGCCACGGGAGGTAATGGCAGGGGAGTCAGCCTGCAGTGCGAGTGGACTAGGGGTCACAGGAGGTAATGGCAGGGGAGTCAGCCTGCAGTGCGAGTGGACTGGTGGCTACGGGAATGACCGAGAAAAGGAGCGTGGCCAGGTGACGGAAGAGGACGGGAGTCTGCTGGTAGAGCGAGCGGTCTAGAACCAGCGAGAAGGTTCGGGAGTGGGGGCGTGGCCTCGGACCGTGTATAAGGGAGATGCGCGGGAGACTCGGGGCTGTTGCGGTGGGGGTCTCCGCCTGTTCCCGAGTGCGAGCACGTGGCTCCTTAAATAGCGAAACCATCTCAAGACAAGTCCGTCGAAGTCATCTTTACACTACCGCCGCTGCCATTCCGCTCGTTTCACAGGTTCACAGGCTGGACAAGGCGTCGTGACTGCGACGCGTCCATTGCTTAGCCCGTGCCCTTCATTCGGTGGCGAGCGCGGCTGTGTTGGCCGCGGAAAAGCGGATTTAACTCGAGATCATTGAGAGAGAAACACAAAACACAAACACGAGGGGAAGCCCAAAAACATTACACGTGAAAATGTCTTCAACCACTTTGCTACGCCGATTATTACCGTGTCGGGTGACGCAGCGGCGTCGTTCGTTTTCATCGACAGCATGAGCCAATGTTCTGACAGGGCGACCGCAAGGGCGGGCGTTATTGTTGCTTTACTTTAGTTTTTAAGCTCAAGTATTCGTTGGACTCTTATTTTGGGTGTAATATGCCTCACTTGCGAGCGAGTCAACAGCTCTTTACCAATGATACATTTTTTTTTTCCCACAGGCCCTTTAGTTTTCCGTAGTGCCTACTGTGGCCTATTGGATAATAATGGCCCTGGGGAGTGGAGGAGACATGGGGGGGGGGGTGGTGGAACGTGGCTGCGATGTGCCAGAAGGGACCGTGAGCACACACCGGAGGTTTGGTTGGTAGCACTTCAAAAGATTCTGGATCATCACAGGACTACTACTGGCAAGGCAGGTCCCGTTATATAGCTGCTCTCCCCGAGCTCGCAATGTCCTGACAAGTGGCATTGTTCTTGTGTCTCTCTCTGCTCATGTGTCTGTCTGTGTCTCCGGTTCTGTGTTTTACCTTTCTCCTAAATTTAGCAATCTTTATAAGAACGTAATCAACCAGATAGGGTGTTGAACTTATCTTCTTTGGTTCTTTCGGTAAGTCACGTAGAATGAGAATAAAATAATAAATTAATAAAATAACACAATAAAATTCTCACGACGTTTCGGCCACAACACAAGTGGCCTTCTTCAGGTGAAAGGAACAGACCTGTCGGGACGACAGAGCTTCAATGAACGTTGTTAAGACAACGTTAAGCCAACGTTCATTGAAGCTCTGTCGTCCCGACAGGTCTGTTCCTTTCACCTGAAGAAGGCCACTTGTGTTGTGGCCGAAACGTCGTGAGAATTTAATTGTGTTATTTTATTTTATTATTTTATTATTTTATTCTCATTCTACGTGACTTTACCGAAAGAACCAAAGAAGCTGAATCCTTGCAGTCACGAAAGCTTTAAATGTTGAACTTATGTTAGCCGACTAACTGTGTTGCATTGCATTATATTTCTAAGTTTACTAAGTTTGTTTTCGCTTTCATTTGTACCTGATGATGATTGCTTGTGTTGCAATCGAAACGTCGTATGCTATTATTTAATTTATTTTCTCTTTTCTACGTGACTTTACCGAAAGAGTGTTCTTACGCCGTTCGCCTTTTGGCGTCCTCTGGTTTAACGCCGTTAGTGAGACTAGGCTCTAAAGAAAGCTGTCTCTGGTGTGGACCAATCAGTTTCAAAGACAATGGCGTCATCATCTACTACTACCAGAGCGTGTGTTTTTTTGTTTGCATGTTCACCGCAAAGTACCGTGTGCGGTTAATGCAGACATGATTTCTTGCAAAAAGGTTTCAGTTTGGCGTTTTAAAATCTGAACACAACGGTTTGATTGCCGGAGAGGGTAAAAACCTCTTCTTATATTTTGATACTGGCAAGGGAGGTCCCATGAGATAGAAGTACTGCCCGCGAACCCTTCCAGTGACCTCTGCTCCACACACATAAGGGGGGCACGGTACTCTCCCTCCTCACCCCTCCTCCTCCCCCCGCCACTGAGAGTCGTAACTGGGCGTCACCGTGTGTGTGTCTGTGTGTCGTACACTTCGACCCGTGGCACCTGGGTCTGCCCCGTGACCTCCTGCCAGCGGGCGTTCGACACTTCACGTGGCCTCAAGGTGCACATGGCCTGGCACAAGCGTCGTGGTGACATCACCGCCACTTAGTGGCGTATGGCGGTTGTTGTTGTTGTTGTACACTTCTTTAGCTCCGTACGTGGCCAACCGTGCTAATCAGGAGGTGTGAGTCGCGTTCACCCGTTAGTAAAACAAACTAGCGATATGACGGATACATTGCTTTATTTTATACTTAACAAGGGAGGGAGGGGGGTTATAGTGGGGGGAGCGGCAGTGGTGGGGGGGGGGGAGGATTTGGCCGGGCGGTCTCACGACCGAAGGCGCTCGCCGATGCCGGGCGGACTCGCGGCATCGCGAGTCCGTTTCACCGCAGCGCGGCCGCCGCCGCCGCCGCCACCGCCGCCTCACCTGGCCGCACGCCGGCGGTCGGCACCGACACGGACGACGAGGAGGAAGAGGTGGAGGAGGACGAAGAGGACGACGGCGGCGGCGGCGGCAGCGCCGCGGTTGTCGCCGCGCCGGTCAACGCGGAGGAGGAGGAGGAGGGGGCGGCGGCGGCGGACGAGGCGGCCGCGCCGGCTGCCGCGCCGGCACCACCTCCTCCGCCCCCCGGCGCCGGCGGCTCGGAGCCCCCCGCGATGGCGCGCAGGTTGTGGTAGCGGTGCGTGAGCGTGTGGCGCTCGTACTCGCAGGTGGCGAGCGCCTGCTTCAGCTCGTAGAGGAGCACCAGGTCGGAGCGCAGCTCGTTGTACAGCAGCACCACCTCCTCCGTGGGCATCGGGCTTAGGTCTGGGGGCGGGGAGACACGGGGACGCATGGCGTGACGCAGGGAGACGATGGCATAAGCGAGGGCGCGCGGGGAGACACCGGGGGGAGTGGGGAGACACCGGGGGGAGTGGCGAGACACTGAGATGAGTGGGGAGACACTGAGGTATGTGGGGAGACTCTGAGATGTGTGGGGAGACACTGGGATGTGTGGGGAGACTCTGAGATGTGTGTGGAGACACCGGGGGAGTGGCGAGACACTGGGATGTGTGGGGAGACACTGGGTGTGTGGGGAGACACTGGGATGTGTGGGGAGACACTGAGATGAGTGGGGAGACTCTGAGATGTGTGGGGAGACACTGGGATGTGTGGGGAGACACCGGGGTGAGTGGGGAGACACCGGGGGGAATGGGGAGACACTGAGTGTGTGGGGAGACTCTGAGGTGTGTGGGGAGACACTGGGTGAGTGGGGAGACACTGAGTGTGTGGGGAGACACTGGGGTGAGTGAGGAGACACTGGGTGTGTGGGGAGACACTGGATGTGTGGGGAGACACTGGGTGTGTGTGGAGACACTGGGTGTGTGGGGAGACTCTGAGATGTGTGGGGAGACACTGGGTGAGTGGGGAGACACTGGGTGTGTGGGGAGACACTGGGTGTGTGGGGAGACACTGGGTGTGTGTGGAGACACTGAGTGTGTGGGGAGACACTGGGTGTGTGGGGAGACACTGAGATGTGTGGGGAGACACTGAGATGAGTGGGGAGACACTTAGATGAGTGGGGAGACACTGGGTGTGTGGGGAGACACTGGGTGAGTGGGGAGACACCGGGTGAGTGGTGAGACACTGGGTGAGTGGTGAGACACTGGGATGTGTGGAACCATGTGGTGATTAGGGAGACGTGTGCGGTAAGCTGTGTATTAAGTAGTGAGCCACGGTGAGCTGCGTACCGATGCCCAGCTCGGTGAGGATCTGCTCGATCGCTTTCACTTTCTTCTGACCAACGGAGCTTGGCAACTTCATCTGGTCACAACAAACCAGAATGCAGCGCACCACCACGTCACCACAACACAGAACGAGAGAGAGACAGCGAGAGACAGAGACAGTGGAAGAGAGAGAGCGAAAGCGAGAGAGAGACAGCGGAGAGCGAGTGCGACATGGAGTAGGAAGAGAGGGGGTAGAGAGAGAGGGGAGGCAGAGAGGGGTTAGAGAGAGAGGGGTTAGAGAGAGAGGGGGGGCAGAGAGGGGGGTAGAGAGAGAGGGAAGGGGTAAGGAGAGCAGTACGAGAAATATTTTGTTAAATCTTTCATTTAAAAAGGGGGTGGGGGGTCTACATAAAGCAAAGCATTAAAATAAAAACGAAATGGTTAAACGAAGCAAAGTGCCGACTACACTGAGCATCTTCTTGTTTCCTCTGATCGTAAACAAAAAAAAGAGAGAGAGCGAGAGAGAGAGTGGGAGAGAGAGCGAGAGAAAGCGGGAGAGAGCGAGAGAGAGAGCGAGAGAGAGCAAGAGCGAGAGAGAGCGAGAGAGAGCGAGAGAGAGCAAGAGCGAGAGAGAGTGAGAGAGAGAGTGAGAGAGAGAGAGCGCGAGAGAGAGCGAGAGAGAGAGCGAGCGGGAGAGAGTGAGAGAGAGTGAGAGAGAGCGAGACAGAGAGAGCGGGAGTGTGAGAGAGAGCGAGAGAGAGAGCGAGACAGAGAGCGAGAGAGAGAGCGAGAGAGAGACAGCGAGAGAGAGACAGCGAGAGAGAGAGCGAGAGAGAGACAGCGAGAGAGAGAGAGCGAGAGAGAGCGAGAGCGAGAGAGGGCGAGAGCGAGAGAGCGAGCGGGAGAGAGCGAGAGTGAGAGCGAGATTGAGAGAGAGCGAGAGTGAGAGCGAGAGAGAGAGCGAGAGAGAGCGCGAGAGAGAGACAGCGAGAGAGAGAGAGCGAGCGAGAGCGAGAGAGAGCGAGAGCGAGAGAGCGAGCGGGAGAGAGCGAGAGAGAGAGCGAGATTGAGAGAGAGCGAGAGTGAGAGCGAGAGAGAGAGCGAGAGAGAGCGCGAGAGAGAGACAGCGAGAGAGAGAGAGCGAGCGAGAGCGAGAGAGAGCGAGAGCGAGAGAGCGAGCGGGAGAGAGCGAGAGAGAGAGCGAGAGAGAGAGAGAGCGAGAGTGAGAGCGAGAGAGAGAGCGAGAGAGAGCGCGAGAGAGAGACAGCGAGAGAGAGAGAGCGAGCGAGAGCGAGAGAGCGAGCGGGAGAGAGCGAGAGAGAGAGCGAGAGTGAGAGAGCGAGAGAGTGAGAGAAAGCGAGAGCGAGAGAGCGGGAGAGCGAGAGAGCGAGAGCGAGGGAGAGCGGGAGAGAGAGGGAGAGAGAGAGCGAGCGAGAATGAGAGAGAGAGAGTGAGAGAGAGAGCGGGAGAGAGAGAGTGAGAGAGAGACGCACCCTCTGACTGCGCAGCATCACCCCGGCTGACTTGGCATCGGGGAACTTGATCCCGGCTGTCTCCAGTACAGCCTGCTCGCTCACACGGGGTCACGGCGGGGTCACAGCAGGGTCACGGCAGGGTCACGGGGGGTCATGGCGGGGTCACGGCGGGTTCATGGCTGGGTCACGGCAGGGTCACGGCGAGTCACGGGGGGTCATGGCGGGGTAACGACAGGGTCACGGCGAGTCACGGTCACGGGCAGTCACGGGGGTCGCGGCGAGGTCACGGCGAGGTCACGGCGAGGTCACGGCGAGGTCACGGGGACACAGAGGCACAGTTATGCACACACAACCCCCCATGACTGCTGTCTAATGGCTGTGTTGTTGAGACTGTGTACGTGTGTTGTTGAGACTGTGTGTTGTTGAGACTGTGTGTGTGTTGTTGAGACTGTGTGTGTTGTTGAGACTGTGAGTGTGTTGTTGAGACTGTGTGTGTGTGTTGTTGAGACTGTGTGTGTTGTTGAGACTGTGCGTGTGTTGTTGAGACTGTGTGTGTGTGTTGTTGAGACTGTGTGTGTTGTTGAGACTGTGCGTGTGTTGTTGAGACTGTGCGTGTGTGTTGTTGAGACTGTGTGTGTTGTTGAGACTGTGCGTGTGTTGTTGAGACTGTGCGTGTGTTGTTGAGACTATGCGTGTGTTGTTGAGACTATGCGTGTGTTGTTGAGACTATGCGTGTGTTGTTGAGACTGTGTGTGTGTTGTTGAGACTGTGCGTGTGTTGTTGAGACTGTGTGTGTGTGTTGTTGAGACTGTGTGTGTGTTGTTGAGACTGTGTGTGTGTTGTTGAGACTGTGCGTGTGTTGTTGAGACTGTGTGTGTGTTGTTGAGACTGTGTGTGTGTTGTTGAGACTGTGCGTGTGTTGTTGAGACTGTGTGTGTTGTTGAGACTGTGCGTGTTGTTGAGAATGTGTGTGTTGTTGAGACTGTGCGTGTGTTGTTGAGACTGTGCGTGTGTTGTTGAGACTATGCGTGTGTTGTTGAGACTGTGTGTGTGTGTTGTTGAGACTGTGTGTGTGTGTTGTTGAGACTGTGTGTGTGTGTTGTTGAGACTGTGTGTGTGTGTTGTTGAGACTCTGTGTGTTGTTGAGACTGTGCGTGTTGTTGAGAATGTGCGTGTTGTTGAGACTATGTGTGTGTGTTGTTGAGACTGTGTGTTGTTGAGACTGCGCGTGTGTGTTGTTGAGACTGCGTGTGTGTTGTTGAGACTGCGTGTGTGTTGTTGAGACTGCGCGTGTGTTGTTGAGACTGCGCGTGTGTTGTTGAGACTGTGCGTGTGTTGTTGAGACTGTGCGTGTGTTGTTGAGACTGTGCGTGTGTTGTTGAGACTGTGCGTGTGTTGTTGAGACTGTGCGTGTGTTGTTGAGACTGTGCGTGTGTGTTGTTGAGACTGTGCGTGTGTTGTTGAGACTGTGTGTGTGTTGTTGAGACTGTGTGTGTGTTGTTGAGACTGTGTGTGTTGTTGAGACTGTGTGTGTGTGTTGTTGAGACTGTGCGTGTGTTGTTGAGACTGTGTGTGTGTTGTTGAGACTGTGTGTGTTGTTGAGACTGTGTGTGTTGTTGAGACTGTGTGTGTGTGTTGTTGAGACTGTGTGTGTGTGTTGTTGAGACTGTGTGTGTGTGTGTTGTTGAGACTGTGCGCATGTGTTGAGACTGTGCGCGTGTGTTGTTGAGACTGTGTGCGTGTGTTGTTGAGACTGTGTGTGTGTTGTTGAGACTGTGTGCGTGTGTTGTTGAGACTGTGTGTGTGTTGTTGAGACTGCGATGGCTGGGTCATGTAGCCCGCATGCCCAGCCAACGCATGCCGAAACAGCTTTTGTTCGGCCGGATTGAGGGGGCTAAGCGGGCGCGGCACGGGCTAGAGAAGAGATGGAGTGATGTGGTACAGGAGGACGTGGAGCTGAGTGGACTTGCCGATGACTGGTACCAGCGGTGTCCAGATCGGCCTCTGTGGAGGAGGCTCGTGAAGGACGCTACTGGGCAGTTGGAGGCAGTCGCCCTCCAACAACAACGGAGGGCGGAGGAGCGACGCTCACAACAACGAGCGGAGCGCCGGGTGGCTAAAGCACAGCAGGTTGGCACAGTAGCGGGCACAGATGGTGCATCAGCCAGTCACCTCAGTCAGTCGACCCGTGGCACCTGGGTCTGCCCCGTGACCTCCTGCCAGCGGGCATTCGACACTTCACGTGGCCTCAGGGTGCACATGGCCTGGCACAAGCGTCGTGGTGACGTCACCGCCACTTAGTGGCGAATGGCGGTTGTTGTTGTTGTGTGTGAGTGTCTGCCTGTGTGTGTGTGTGTGCGTGTGTGCACGTGCCCGCGCGCGAGTCTCACCGCTCGGTCCCCCGAGTCGCCCCGCCTGTGCGTCGCCTTCTTCTTGCTGGCCTTGCGCTCGTGCGCTCGGTGATGGTGGTGGTGGTGATGGTGGTGGTGATGGTGGTGGTGGTGGGGCGCTCCCGCCTGGCCCCCCGGCCCCCCCGACGCCGCCGCCACCGCCGCCGAGCCCACGCCGCCGCCGTGCTGCTGCTGCTGCTGCTGGTGCTGCTGCTGCTGGTGGTGGTGCTGCTGGTGGTGGTGCTGCTGCTGCTGCTGGTGGTGGTGCTGCAGCGAGGCCGTGGCGCTGGCCGCCGCGCCCATCAGCTTGTGCAGGTCCTGCGTGGCGCGCTCGCGCTCCTTCTTGCGAGACTCGATGCGCCGTAACTCCGACACCAGCGTCTCCTCTTCCGCCAGCTGAGTTGGGGCGGGGGTAGGGGGCGGGGGTAGGGGGCGGGGGTAGGGGGCAGGGGAAATCGTCAAGGATAGCGGGGTAGCTGCCCCCCGTGTAGCTCTATACAGGAATGCCGTGGGGGTTTCACGGTCCTTGCTGTATATTTGGAGTTGGAGTCGTCTCTGTCCCTTGTGGCCGCGTCGATGTTTATCCGGGTCCTCTGGGTTTTTTCCCCCTCCACGTTTCGTACGTGGCTGCTACCAAATTCGTGATGGCCGCATAGCGCCTCAGTGGGGCCTCCTTCGCTGGTGAGTTTTAGTTTCATTGAATTCTACCCTTTGTCTCAAATTCTCCCCCTTTTTACCCCAGGTCTCTCCACCCCCCCACCCCCACCGAGATAACCCCCCCCCACCACCATTCACCCACCCCACCCACCATCAACCACCGGGGGACCGACCCGCCCTACCAAAACGCCCCCCACGCCCCCCCCCGCCCAGCCCCCCGGTAGCTCCGCACCTGTTCGGGCGTGCGGCTGAAGAGGCGCTCCAGCTGCTGCTTGCGCCGCCGCTCGTGGTCGGCGTCGAAGACGGGGACGGCGCGCGGCTCCGTGCCTGGCGGGGCGCGGGCACGGAGGAGTCGGGCCGTCATGGAGTAGTAGCGCTCCTTCAGGTCCTCGACGGAACGACGCTACAGAGACACACACGGAGACACCCGGAGAGAGATGGAGACACAGAGAGAGAGATGGAGACACAGAGAGAGAGATGGAGACACACAGAGAGAGATGGAGTAGTAGCGCTCCTTCAGGTCCTCGACGGAACGACGCTACAGAGACACACGGAGAGACACAGAGAGAGATGGAGACACACGGAGACACACAGAGAGAGATGGAGTAGTAGCGCTCCTTCAGGTCCTCGACGGCACGACGCTACGGAGACACACGGAGACACACGGAGACACACAGAGAGAGATGGAGACACACAGAGAGAGATGGAGTAGTAGCGCTCCTTCAGGTCCTCGACGGAACGACGCTACAGAGACACACAGAGAGAGATGGAGACACACGGAGAGAGATGGAGACACACGGAGAGACACGGAGACACACAGAGAGAGATGGAGTAGTAGCGCGCCTTCAGGTGCTCCATGGAGAGTTGCTATGAAGACACAGGGAGAGACACGGAGACACATGGAGAGAGATGGAGTAGTAGCGCTCCTTCAGGTCCTCCACGGAACGACGCTACGGAGAAAGAGACACGGAGACGCACGGAGCAAACTCCAAATAATACAGCAGGGATCGTCAGGGTCGGGACCAAACCCACGACCTCTTATACACCAGGCGAGGAAGTTAAGAGCTCCTAGATACCGTGATGATGATGATGATGAGAGACACGCAAATTCCAAATACACAGCAGCAGGCATCGTCAGGGTTGGGATCGAACCCACGACCTCTTATACACCAGGCGAGGAAGTTAAGAGCTCCTAGATACCGTGATGATGATGAAGAGAGACACGCACATTCCAAATACACAGCAGCAGACATCGTCAGGGTCGGGATGGCACCCACGACCTCTTGCGTACCAGACGAGGTAGTTAAGAGCTCCTAGATACCGTGATGATGATGATGATGATAGACACGCAAACTCCAAATACACAGCAGCAGGCATCGTCAGGGTTGGGATTGAACCCACGACCCCTTGCGTACCAGACGAGGTAGTTACCATCCCCCCAGGCACCGCGGCGCCCCTTTCTGTGTTTTACGCCCGCGCGTACACACCTTGTAGGTGGTGCAGTCGTAGCGGTCGTGCATGACCACCCAGCGCAGGTCGAACCGCTGGCAGAGGTCGAGCAGGTGGTCGGTCTCGGCGCGGCTCCAGTCGTCGTGCTGCAGGTGCGACGCGTACTCCTGCTCAGTGAACACGGGCACCTGCACGCTCTGCACCGACAAGGACCACATCAAGCGGTAGCAGCAGCAGGTCGCGCTCATTACGAGTATCCTGGTGGCCAGGGGATGTTATATGGCTCGCCTGGTATGCAGGAGGTCCGTGGGTTCGATCCCGACCCTGACGCCAAGCTGCTGCTGTATATTTGGAGTTTGCGTGTCTCTCTCAGCATCATCATCACGGTGGCTAGGAGATGTTAACTACCTCGCCTGGTATGCAGGAGGTCCATGGGTTCGATCCCGACCCTGACGCCTGCTGCTGCTGTATATTTGGAGTTTGCGTGTCTCTCTCAGCATCATCATCACGGTGGCTAGGAGATGTTAACTACCTCGCCTGGTATGCAGGAGGTCCGTGGGTTCGATCCCAACCCTGACGCCTGCTGCTGTATATTTGGAGTTTGTGTGTCTCTCTCTCATCATCATCACCACGGTGGAAAAGAGATGTTAACTACCACGCCTGGTACACACGAGATCGTGGGTTTGATTGCGACTCTTACGCCTTCTGTATATTTGGAGTTTGTGTGTGTCTCTCTGTCATCATCATCACCACGGTGGCTAGGAGATGTTAACTACCACGCCTGGTATACAGGAGATTGTGGGTTTGATCCCGACCCTGACGCCTTCTTTAAATTTAGAGTTTGTGTCTCTCTCTTATCATCATCACCACGGTGGCTAGGAGATGTTAACTACCTCGCCTGGTATGCAGGAGGTCCGTGGGTTCGATCCCAACCCTGACGCCTGCTGCTGTATATTTGGAGTTTGTGTGTCTCTCTCTCATCATCATCACCACGGTGGAAAAGAGATGTTAACTACCACGCCTGGTACACACGAGATCGTGGGTTTGATCGCGACTCTTACGCCTTCTGTATATTTGGAGTTTGTGTGTGTCTCTCTCTCATCATCATAACCACGGTGGCTATGAGATGTTAACTACCACGCCTGGTATACAGGAGATCGTGGGTTCGATCCCGAGCCTTACGCCTGCTGCTGTATATTTGGAGTCTGCGTGTCTCTCTCTCTCTCTCCGTGGTCACGTGGATTTTTCTCCGGGTCCTCCGGTTTCCCCCTCCACATTTAGAAACACGCGTTTAGAGTATTTGGCTGCTCTTAAATTCCACGCGATGATGATGATAAGAAGCCACATTCATTGCGCGATCATTTGTGATCGCCAGCTCGCTTCTGACAAAGAGCTACACAGCTCAGTGGACCCTTACCTGGTAAAAATCAAAGATAAATTTCGTTTGCCACTGCCGTTGACCGCTTAAGAAGAGTCACGTGGGTTTGGGAAGAGAGAGGCGTCTTGGGCTACATGCGCCGACGGATGGCCAAGGGTCAAAAGGTCGACAGCGTGTTGATATGTGTGCGTGTGTATGTGTGTGCGTGTGTATGTGTGTGCGTGTGTGTATGTGTGTGCGTGTGTATATGTGCGCGTGTGTATGTGTGCGCGTGTGTATGTGTGCGCGTGTGTATATGTGTGCGTGCGTGTGTGTATATGTGCGCGTGTATATGTGTGCGCGTGTGTATATGTGTGCGTGTGTACGTGTGCGCGTGTGCGTGCGTTGGTGTAGTAGCGGTAAGCGCGCTCTCGCTACGAACCCGGCGGTCTGAGTTTGATCCCCGCTCACAGCCAACACCAGCGACGATTATCTGAACCGGTCTTGGGCCTCCCCTAAGTTGACTCGGCCTCAAATGAGTACCTGGTGCGGTGTGTAGTAAACATCGCCACTAGGGAGACAAAGGCGGCCAGGCATGGTGTTGGCCACCCATCCCCCCGTGTGCCGTACTGGCCTTCATAGGTGCTCGCTAACATCACTTGCCAGCTTACTCAGGCTATATGGGGGATCTTTGTCTGCGTTGGCACACTAGGGGGCACAGGTGGTGCATCTGCCAGTCATCTCAGTCAGTCGACCCATGGCACCTGCTGGGTCTGTCCCGTGACCTCCTCCTGCACCTAGCCTGGCACAGAGGGGAGCACAGGTCGTGCCAACTGCCAGTCATCTCAGTCAACCCATGGGACACCACCCGAGTCTGTCCCGTGACCTCCTCCTGCACCTAGCCTGGCACAGCAGGGAGCACAGGTGGTGCATCGGCCCAGTCATCTCGGTCAGTCGACCCACGGCACCGCCTGGGTCTGCCCCGTGACCTCCTGCCGGCGGGCGTTCGATACTTCACGTGGCCTCAACGTGCACCTAGCCTGGCACAAGCGGCGCCGCGGTGACGCCACCGCCACTTAGCGGCGAACGGCGGTTGATGCTGTTGTTCATGTTGCTGCTGCTGCTGTTGTTGTTGTTGTTGTGTGCGTGCCTTGTTGAAGCGAGCGAAGGGATACTCGCTGGGCTGGTCGGTGGCGCGCCGCCAGTGGTGGAAGACGGCGCCGTCGGTGCGCGCCGGGTGGGTGAAGGGGGTCCAGCGCCACGCCCGCACCACGCGGCACCCAAGGCGCGCCTTCACCGTGCGGTAGCCCTGGGACGAGTCGCTGGGCAGCACCGGGGGGGCATCCCTGAGACGATGCGCGGGGAGAGAGACACGGTGTGGGTGGGACGCGGGGAGAGAGACGCGGGGAGAGAGACACGGTGGGTGGGACGCGGGGAGAGAGACACAGGGAGAGAGACACAGGGAGAGAGACACAGTGTGGGTGGGACGCGGGGAGAGAGACACAGGGAGAGAGACACGGTGTGGGTGGGATGCGGGGAGAGAGACGCGGGGAGAGAGACACGGTGGGTGGGACGCGGGGAGAGAGACGCGGGGAGAGAGACACGGTGGGTGGGACGCGGGGAGAGAGACACAGGGAGAGAGACACAGGGAGAGAGACACAGTGTGGGTGGGACGCGGGGAGAGAGACACAGGGAGAGAGACACGGTGTGGGTGGGATGCGGGGAGAGAGACGCGGGGAGAGAGACACGGTGGGTGGGACGCGGGGAGAGAGACGCGGGGAGAGAGACACGGTGTGGGTGGGACGCGTGGAGAGAGACACAGGGAGAGAGACACGGTGGGTGGGACATGGGGAGAGAGACACAGGGAGAGAGACACGGTGTGGGTGGGACGCGTGGAGAGAGACACAGGGAGAGAGACACGGTGTGGGTGGGATGCGGGGAGAGAGACGCGGGGAGAGAGACACGGTGGGTGGGACGCGGGGAGAGAGACGCGGGGAGAGAGACACGGTGGGTGGGACGCGGGGAGAGAGACACAGGGAGAGAGACACAGGGAGAGAGACACAGTGTGGGTGGGACGCGGGGAGAGAGACACAGGGAGAGAGACACGGTGTGGGTGGGACGCGGGGAGAGAGACGCGGGGAGAGAGACACGGTGGGTGGGACGCGGGGAGAGAGACACAGGGAGAGAGACACGGTGGGTGGGACGTGGGGAGAGAGACACAGGGAGAGAGACACGGTGGGTGGGACGTGGGGAGAGAGACACAGTGTGGGTGGGACGCGTGGAGAGAGACACAGGGAGAGAGACACGGTGTGGGTGGGACACGGGGAGAGAGACACAGGGAGAGAGACACGGTGTGGGTGGGACGCGGGGAGAGAGACACAGGGAGAGAGACACGGTGTGGGTGGGATGCGGGGAGAGAGACGCGGGGAGAGAGACACGGTGGGTGGGACGCGGGGAGAGAGACGCGGGGAGAGAGACACGGTGGGTGGGACACGGGGAGAGAGACACAGGGAGAGAGACACAGGGAGAGAGACACAGTGTGGGTGGGACGCGGGGAGAGAGACACAGGGAGAGAGACACGGTGTGGGTGGGACGCGGGGAGAGAGACGCGGGGAGAGAGACACTGTGGGTGGGACGCGGGGAGAGAGACACAGGGAGAGAGACACGGTGGGTGGGACGTGGGGAGAGAGACACAGGGAGAGAGACACGGTGGGTGGGACGTGGGGAGAGAGACACAGTGTGGGTGGGACGCGTGGAGAGAGACACAGGGAGAGAGACACGGTGTGGGTGGGACATGGGGAGAGAGACACAGGGAGAGAGACACGGTGTGGGTGGGACGCGTGGAGAGAGACACAGGGAGAGAGACACGGTGTGGGTGGGACGCGTGGAGAGAGACACGGTGTGGGTGGGACGCGTGGAGAGAGACACGGTGTGGGTGGGACGCGTGGAGAGAGACACAGGGAGAGAGACACGGTGTGGGTGGGACGCGTGGAGACACAGGGAGAGAGACACGGTGTGGGTGGGACATGGGGAGAGAGACACAGGGAGAGAGACACAGTGTGAGTGGGACGCGGGGAGAGAGACACGGTGAGTGGGACAAGGGAGAGAGACACGGTGTGGGTGGGACGCGGGGAGAGAGACACAGGGAGAGAGACACAGGGAGAGAGACACGGTGTGGGTGGGACGCGTGGAGAGAGACACAGGGAGAGAGACACGGTGTGGGTGGGACATGGGGAGAGAGACACAGGGAGAGAGACACAGGAAGAGAGACACAGGGAGAGACACAGTGTGGGTGGGACATGGGGAGAGAGACACAGGGAGAGAGACACGGTGTGGGTGGGACACGGGGAGAGAGACACGGTGGGTGGGACGCGGGGAGAGAGACACGGTGGGTGGGACATGGGGAGAGAGACACAGGGAGAGAGACACAGTGTGGGTGGGACGCGGGGAGAGAGACACGGTGAGTGGGACGCAGTGAGACGCACCGAGACAAGGCGAGGGACGGGTGGGACAAGGTGGGACAATGTGAGACAAGGTGGTGGGTCAAGTCTGAGCAGCACCGCGGGGGCGTCCCTTAGACAATGTGCGGGGAGAGGAGAGACGCAGCGAGTGGGTGGGATGCGGTGAGACGCACTGAGACACGGAGAGACACGGTCAGTCACAGACAGACGACGTGGGGTGTGGTGGGACGAGTCACTGGGGAGCACCGGGGCGCGTCCCTGAGACGCGACACGGGGCGAGAGACGCGGTGAGTGGGACGAGGCGTGACACAATGAGGCACGGTGCGACACACTCAGGCACGGTGATGCACGCCGAGACACAGTGGGACAGTGAGACATGGTGAGACACGGTGGGACACACTCAGGCACGGTGATGCACGCCGAGACACAGCGAGACAACGTGAGACGCACTCAGGCACGGTGAGGCACGCCGAGACACAGTGGGACAGTGAGACACGGTGAGACACGGTGGGACACACTCAGGCACGGGGAGGCACGCCGAGACACAGTGGGACAGTGAGACACGGTGAGACACGGTGGGACACACTCAGGCACGGTGAGGCACGCCGAGACACAGTGGGACAGTGAGACACGGTGGGACACGGTGGGACACGCGGGCGGACAATGAAGAACTCATGAGGGCACACACGGAGACGCGGCGTCTCACTTGTTGTCCGAGTAGAGCAGGGCGTAGACCTCTCTGTGCATCCCCTCCGGGCGCTTGAACGTCGGAGTCTCTGCCAGCTTCTTTGACTTTTTCTTAAAACCCAAACATGCGCACAGACACACAGGCACGCGCACAGACACACAGGCACGCGCACAGACACACAGGCACGCGCACAGACACACACACACGGACACAAATCCCCCTCGTGGTCATGAGCAAGCTGTTGGGGCAAGTGCTGTTAGCAGCGAGTAGCAGCAGTGCCTATGTAGGCTGGCACGGCACACGAGGGGGCGAGCGGCCAGCAACCACCCCCAGCCGCCTGTGTCTCCCCAGTAGCGATGTTTACACCACGAACTGCAGCAGGTACTCATTTGAGGCTGAGTCGACCTAGGGGGGAGGGGGCCATAACTGGTACTGATAATCGTCCCCGGTTGGTGGTGGTGGTGGCCGTGAGAGGGAATCGAACTCGGGTCATCGCCGGGTTCATAACGCAGTGCGCCAACCACTGCACGAACGCTCCTCGAACGTAAACTAAACCAAATGGACGCATGCAGCCACAAAGAGACACGCACATCATACACACAATGTATAAAGCTACTCACCATGCGTACATATAGAACACACGTGTGATAGCTTGAGTGCTATATTGAAGTGGGTGGTTGTATATTGTTGTGATTGTGTATAATGTAGATGTGACTGTGTCTGTAGTTTTGCACGTGTGTGGTAGTGGTGGTGATGTACGGGTGGTGGTGAGTGGTTGAGGTGGTTGAGGTGGTGATGTATGGGTGGTGGTGAGTGGTTGAGGTGGTTGAGGTGATGTACGGGTGGTGGAGAGAGGTTGAGGTGGTTGAGGTGGTGAAGTATGGATGGTGGTGAGTGGTTGAGATGGTGATGTATAGGTGGTGGTGAGTGGTTGAGATGGTGATGTATGGGTGGTGGTGAGTGGTTGAGGTGGTGATGTATGGGTGGTGGTGAGTGGTTGAGGTGGTTGAGGTGGTGATGTATGGGTGGTGGTGAGTGGTTGAGGTGGTTGAGGTGGTGATGTACGGGTGGTGGCGAGTGGTTGAGGTCGTGATGTATGGGTGGTGGTGAGTGGTTGAGGTGGTGATGTACGGGTGGTGGCGAGTGGTTGAGGTGGTGATGTACAGGTGGTGGCGAGTGGTTGATGTGGTGATGTACGGGTAGTGGCGAGTGGTTGAGGTGGTGATGTACGGGTGGTATTGAGTGGTTGAGGTGGTGATGTAAGGGTGGTGGCGAGTGGTTGAGGTGGTGATGTACGGGTGGTGGCGAGTGGTTGAGGTGATGTACAGGTGGTGGAGAGAGGTTGAGGTGGTGATGTATGGGTGGTGGCGAGTGGTTGAGGTGGTGATGTACGGGTGGTGGCGAGTGGTTGAGGTGGTGATGTATGGGTGGTGGCGAGTGGTTGAGGTGGTTGAGGTGGTGATGTATGGGTGGTGGTGAGTGGTTGAGGTGGTTGAGGTGGTGATGTACGGGTGGTGGTGAGTGGTTGAGGTGGTGATGTACGGGTGGTGGCGAGTGGTTGAGGTGGTGATGTACAGGTGGTGGTGAGTGGTTGAGGTGGTTGAGGTGATGTACAGGTGGTGGAGAGAGGTTGAGGTGGTTGAGGTGGTGAAGTATGGATGGTGTGAGTGGTTGAGGTGAAGTATGGATGGTGGTGAGTGGTTGAGATGGTGATGTACGGGTGGTGGTGAGTGGTTGAGGTGGTGATGTACGGGTGGTGGCGAGTGGTTAAGGTGGTGATGTAAGGGTGGTGGCGAGTGGTTGAGGTGGTGATGTACAGGTGGTGGTGAGTGGTTGAGGTGATGTACGGGTGGTGGAGAGAGGTTGAGGTGGTGATGTACGGGTGGTGGTGAGTGGTTGAGGTGGTGATGTACGGGTGGTGGCGAGTGGTTGAGGTGGTGATGTACGGGTGGTGGCGAGTGGTTGAGGTGGTGATGTACGGGTGGTGGCGAGTGGTTGAGGTGGTGATGTACGGGTGGTGGCGAGTGGTTGAGGTGGTGATGTACGGATGGTGGTGAGTGGTTGAGGTGGTGATGCACGGGTGGTGGCTAGTGGTTGAGGTGGTTGAAGTGGTGATGTACGGGTGGTGGCGAGTGGTTGAGGTGGTGATGTACGGGTGGTGGTGAGTGGTTGAGGTGGTGATGCACGGGTGGTGGCTAGTATTTGAGGTGGTTGAGGTGGTGATGTACGGGTGGTGGCGAGTGGTTGAGGTGGTGATGCACGGGTGGTGGCGAGTGATTGAGGTGGTTGAGGTGGTGATGTACGGGTGGTGGCGAGTGGTTGAGGTGGTGATGCACGGGTGGTGGCGAGTGGTTGAGGTGGTTGAAGGTGGTGATGCACGAGTGGTGGCGAGTGGTTGAGGTGGTTGAAGGTGGTGAAGTATAAAGTACAGGTGGTGGTTGGGGGTGGTGAAGTATGGCTGCTGGCACCTTGTCGGTTTGCAGCAGGAGGTCGCGTTTGCTGATGGGCGCCACCATCTCCCCGTCCGCCGACAGCTCCAAGATGTCACGCACATCGGCACCGGTGCCCATGGTGCTGAGACCACAACAACAACCACAACCACCACAGCCGCGTCAACAACCGCCGGTGACTGCAACACAGCAACAACCACAACTATAACCACAGCTATAGCCACAACCACAACTATAACCACAACTATAGCCACAACTATAACCACAACTATAGCCACAACTATAACCACAACTATAGCCACAACTATAACCACAACTATAGCCACAGACCCAACTATGACTATAACCACAACTATAGCCACAGACACAACTATAACTATAACCACAACTATAGCCTCAACTATAACCACAACTATAGCCACAACTATAACCACAGCTATAGCCACAGACACAACTATAACCACAACTATAGCCACAAATATAACCACAACTATAGCCACAGCCACAACTATAACCACAACTATAGCCACAACTATAACCACAGCTATAGCCACAGACACAACTATAACTATAACCACAACTATAGCCACAACTATAACCACAGCTATAGCCACAGACACAACTATAACTATAACCACAACTATAGCCACAACTATAACCACAACTATAGCCACAGACACGACTATAACCACAACTATAGCTACAACCACAACTATAACCACAGCTATAGCCACAGCCACAACTATAACTATAACCACAACTATAGCCACAACTATAGCCACAGACACAACTATAACCACAACTATAGCCACAACCACAACTATAACCACAACTATAACCACAGCCACAAATATAACCACAACTATAACCACAGACAACTATAACCACAACTATAACCACAGCCACAAATATAACCACAACTATAACCACAGACACAACTATAACCACAACTATAACCACAGCTATAGCCACAGACACAACTATAACCACAGCAATAGCCACAGACACAACTATAACCACAACTATAACCACAGCTATAGCCACAGACACAACTATAACCACAACTATAGCCACAACCACAACTATAACCACAGCTATAGCCACAACCACAAGTATAACCACAGCCACAACTATAGCCACAACCACAACTATAGCCACAACCACAACTATAGCCACAACTATAACCACAGCTATAGCTACAGACACGACTATAACCACAACTATAGCTACAATCACAACTATAACCACAGCTATAGCCACAGCCACAACTATAACTATAACCACAACTATAGCCACAACTATAGCCACAGACACAACTATAACCACAACTATAGCCACAACCACAACTATAACCACAGCTATAGCCACAGCCACAACTATAGCCACAACCACAACTATAACCACAACTATAACCACAGCCACAAATATAACCACAACTATAACCACAACTATAACCACAGCCACAAATATAACCACAACTATAACCACAGACACAACTATAACCACAACTATAACCACAGCTATAGCCACAGACACAACTATAACCACAACTATAACCACAACTATAGCCACAACCACAACTATAGCCACAACCACAACTATAACCACAGCTATAGCCACAACCACAAGTATAACCACAGCCACAACTATAGCCACAACCACAACTATAGCCACAACCACAACTATAGCCACAACTATAACCACAGCTATAGCTACAGACACGACTATAACCACAACTATAGCTACAATCACAACTATAACCACAGCTATAGACACAGACACAACTATAGCCACAGCCATAACTATAACCACAACTATAACCACAATCACAACTATAACCACAACTATAGCCACAACCACAACTATAGCCACTTCCACAACTATAGCCACAACCACAACTATAGCCACAACCATAACCAGACACAACTATATCCACAACTATAACCACAGCTATAGCCACAGTCACAACTATATCCACAACTATAACCACAGCTATAGCCACAGCCACAACTATAACCACAACTATAACCACAGCAACAACTATAACCACAACTATAGCCACAACTATAACCACAGCTATAGCCAGTCACAACTATAACCACAACTATAGCAACAGCCACAACTATAGCCACAACCATAACCACAGACACAACTATAACCACAGCTATAGCCACAACCAGAACTATAACCACAGCTTTTGCCACAAACACAACTATAACCACAACTATAGCCAGTCACAACTATAACCACAACTATAACCACAGCTATAACCACAGCTTTCGCCACAGACACAACTATAACCACAACTATAACCAGTCACAACTATAGCCACAACTATAACCACAGCTATAGCCACAACCACAACTATAACCACAGCTATAGCCACAACCACAACTATAGACACAACCACAACTATAACCACAGCTATAGCCACAACCGCAACTATATCCACAACTATAACCACAGCCACAACTATAACCACAACTATAACCACAGACACAACTATAACCACAACTATAACCACAACTATAGCCACAGTCACATCTATAACCACAGCTATAGCCACAACCACAACTATAACCACAGCCACAACTATAACCACAACTATAACCACAGCCACAAATATAACCACAACTATAACCACAGACACAACTATAACCACAACTATAACCACAACTATAGCCAGTCACAACTATAACCACAGCTATAGCCACAACCACAGCAACAGCAGTAACCACAGCTGCGTTGGCGGTGTTGTGCAGCCCGCATTGCACGCACATCCGCAGCTGCTGATTCTGGATAATGACTCGGATGGGCGATTGCCATCCACAAATACCAGGTACTATAGGCTGCGTGGTGGTGGTGGTAGTGGTGGTGAGCAGCAGCAGAGGGCAGTGCATGAGAGACCACCACCACTCCGTTGTTGCACTGTACAGTACAGTGCGTCTATGCCACACACCAGAATTGTAAAAGATTTCAACAACGACAACAACCACAACAACAAGAACAACACGCGTGACCAGAGCGGTGAAGTATGGTCGGCTATCCCTCGCGGCCACAGGCGGGGGTGCAGGGTTGGACGCCTTCAGCCAGCGAGTTGTGGCGGCTTCACGGCGGTGAACGACAGCCTAGGCAGGGCCGCAACTCGGCACGGCCATTACAAAGACACAAAGACAAAGATCCCCAACCGTGTAGCCTCTAACAGACTGTAGGGGCAAGTGCTGTTGGTAGCGAGTAGCAGCACTACCTGTGAAGGTAGACACAGACAAAGATCCCCAACCGTGTAGCCTGTAACAGACTGTAGGGGCAAGTGCTGTTGGTAGCGAGTAGCAGCAGCAGCTGTGAAGGCTACCGGCACTGTGGCACACACAGAGGGGGTGGGTGGCCAGCAACCACCACGCCCGACCGCCTTTGTCTCCCCCCGGTCGCGATGTTTACTAACACACACAGCACCGGGTTACTCATTTGAGGCCGAGTCGAGCTAGGGGAGAGGCCCAGGTACCGGTTCAGACAATCGCTGTCACTGGTGGCGGTGTTGGCCGTGGTTGCCGGGTTCGTAGCGCAGCGTAGCGCGAACCACTATACTACCGCTCCCCACAAAAGACACAGACACACACACACAGACACACACAGAGACACACACAGACACAAAGACACACAGAGACACACACAAAGACACACACAGAGACACACACAAAGACACACAGAGACACACACAAAGACACACACAGAGACACACACAAAGACACACAGACACACACACACAGAGACACAGACACAGAGACACACACAAAGACACACACAAAGACACACACACAGAGACACACACAAAGACACACACACAAAGACACACAGACAAACACACAGAGACACAGACACACACAGAGACACAGACAGAGACGACTCTCTCTCTCGCGACAGAGAAGTTCGCGAGGAGATACCTGCAGACGTGTTATCTGAGGAGGAGGTGGGGGGATTGGCGATATCGCGTTTTACCTCAGACGTCGTCTTCCGCCGCGAGAATCGCCAAAGAATAAAATAAAATAAAATCGCCTCAAAAATGTGCCCCCACCTCTGCAAAAGGGCGGGAAGAAGAGGGGGGGAGGGGGAAGCCGCTTTGGAATCCGTAGCGCGGAACGGCAACGAGCGCGAGGTCAGCGGGCGGAGGTGGTTTGTCCGTACTGCGCATGCGCGCGAGCGAGGCGCCTTTATATTTGTTAGCGCGGATTAGCTATGGGGGGGCGTGGCGTGGCGGGGCCGTGACGTCAGGCGTCTTGTGGTAGGTAAATAATTAATAAAGAGGCGGAGAGGGGGAATCCGATGAGCTACGAAGCTCTTTTGTTTGTTTCATAGATGGGGGGATTGGTCAGAACGTTACAACAACAAACAGTTACAAAAACACGATAGGAGTGCACAAATACAGTATAGGAAAATGGTAAACAAATTATATAATTATTATTATTTCAAGCTTTCGTGACTGCAGCAATTCATATTCTTGGTTCTTTCGGTAAAGTCACCACCACCACGTAGATAAGGAAACAATAAAATAATAAAAATTATAAAAAAAACAATAAAATTCTCACGACGTTTCGACTGCAACACGAGAAGGCAATCATCATCAGGTGTGAAAACCACAGCAAGAAAATTTTGAAAAAAGTGGCGTGTTATTTTTTAACGTTAGCACCACGGAGAGCGATTTGGCAGTTTGTTCAGATGGACGAGTCCACCTGTGTTCGTCTCCCCCCCTCCTCTTTTCCGAACACAGATGGACTCGTCCATCTGAACAAACTGCCAAATCGCTGTCCGTGGTGCTGACGTTTAAAAATAAACCGCCACTTAAATTTTGATTTAAAGCTTTCGTGACTGCAGTAATTCATATTCTTAGTTCTTTCGGTAAAGTCACGTTGAAGGGAATCAATAAAATAATAAAATATATATAAACAATAAAAACAATATATATTTTATATATATTTAATTACTTTATTGTTTCCCTTCAACGTGACTTTACCGAAAGAACTAAGATTATAAACCGCCACTTTTTTCAAAATTTTCTTGCCGTGGGTTTCACACCTGATGATGATTGCTTCTTGTGTTGCAGTCAAAACGTCGTGAGAATTTTATTGTTTTTTATATTTTTATTATTGTTTTTTTTTCTACGTGGTGACTTTACCGAAAGAACCAAGAATATGAATCCCCTGCAATCACGAAAGCTTTAAATCAGGAGTGAAGATTCTAGATTTGAAGCTTTCGTGACTGCAAGGATTCACACTCTTTGGTCTTATTCGGTAAAGTCACGCAGGTAAAATAAAAATAAAACAATTAAATCACGACGTTTCGGAAGCAACACAAGCTTCCGTCTTCAGGTGGAGCAGTCACAGCAGAATATCTGTGTCAAGTGCACAATTCCGAGACGACTTGGATCACATATAGGTCAGGGGGGGTGGGGGTAGCCAGAAAGGAACGTGGGTGGGTGGGAGGGCTGAGTTAAGCTGCCTTTTGTTAAACTGCAACAAGTTTCATCGTTTTATTAATTAGGTATAGCCCTAAATTTTGATTTAAAGCTTTCGTGACTGCAGTAATTCATATTCTTAGTTTTTTCGGTAAAGTCACGTTGAAGAGAAACAACAAAATAACAAAATATATATAAAACAATAAAAAATTCTCACGACGTTTCGACCATAACTCAAACGGTCATCATCAGGTGTGTCGGTTTGCATAAATTTATTTTGAAAACGGCATATTTATTTATTTATATATATATAAAAAATATAACGTTTGCGTCACGCGCAACGATTGGCAGTTTGCCCAGGACTAGTCCATCTATTTTTTGAAAAGAGGAGGGGGGAGACGAAATTTGTTTTTATGTATGCTGTCTGAAAGCCACTGTAAGCGTGAACAATCAATCAAGAACTGAAATGATTTATCAAATCTTTCCAATGATTGCTAAGATAGAATCCATCTTCTCGGTTGAAATTGTCTCTGTGTTTGTATACAAACAGATAGAATCCATCTTCTCGGTTGAAATTGTCTCTGTGTTTGTATATTCTATCTTAGCAATCATTGGAAAGATTTGATAAATCATTTCAGTTCTTGATTGATTGTTCACGCTTACAGTGGCTTTCAGACAGCATACATAAAAACAAATTTCGTCTCCCCCCTCCTCTTTTCAAAAAATAGATGGACTAGTCCTGGGCAAACTGCCAATCGTTGCGCGTGACGCAAACGTTATATTTTTTATATATATAAATAAATATGCCGTTTTCAAAATACATTTATGCAAACCGACACACCTGATGATGACCGTTTGAGTTATGGTCGAAACGTCGTGAGAATTTTTTATTGTTTTATATATATTTTGTTATTTTGTTGTTTCTCTTCAACGTGACTTTACCGAAAAAACTAAGAATAGGTATAGCCCTGTGAGCCATTCGGCTCTTGAATCGTCTGCAACCGCAACAAGCACAAACACAAAAACACAAAAACGAAAGCGGGTAAACAACCCTTTTGTTATGCTGCAGGGGGCATCAAGTACAGGCAAACCTTCTGGGAACGAAAATTAAACCAACCTTTTGGGAACTAAAATGAGAACTACGAAAAGGCTGTACAATTGTAAATGTTGTGGATTCACTCTTCAACACACCGGTGGGCTAAAGTAGTGAACTAATTGTCTTTTTTGATTTAAAGCTTTCGTGACTGCAGTAATTCATATTCTTAACTCTTTCGGTAAAGTCACGTTGAAGGGAAACAATAAAATAATAAAATATATATAAACCAATAAAACTTCTCACGACGTTTCGAGCATAACATGACGACCGTTTGTGTTATGGTCGAAACGTCGTGAGAATTTTTATTGTTTTATATATATTTTATTATTTTATTGTTTCCCTTCAACGTGACTTTACCGAAAGAGCTAAGAAAATAATTGTCTTTTGTCAACGTGACACTTTTTTTTGCTGATTGGCCGTGTCGGGCGGTGGAGGGTTACGACACATTTATAAATACCGCGATCTAACCCAATAATATTGGTCGCGAAAGCCTACGTGTTAAACTGAAGGTAGCTAAAGTTTGACATACAGCCACTGAGAAGTGGAAATGGCTGTACAATTAAAAGGCAGCTAACGTTGCGACTTGATTCATAACATCTTGCCAGTGGTTGCTCAATTTGAAACCATCATCTCGTTTGAAGTTGTGTCTGTGTTTGTATATCTGGATCGTCTTGAATCGCCTCCTCCCGAACCCCCCTGCAGCATAACAAAAGGATTGTTTACCCGCTTTAGTGCAGTTAAACACCCCTCCCCCCTGACCTATATATAATCCAAGTCGTCTCGGAACTGTGCACTTGACACAGATATTCTGCTGTGACTGCTCCACCATGAAAACGGAAACTTGTGTTACCTCCGAAACGTCGTGATTTAATTGTTTTATTTTATTTTCACCTACGTGACTTTACCGAGTAAAACCAAAGTGTAGGAGCGAAGATGTTTAAACACCAAACGGAAAACTTTCTGCACGTGATACTTGCAGTGGACATGCAGACACAAACACGCTCTGATAATATGATGCATTGACTTTGGTAATAATGTCACTAGAATACTCTGCTGGTTATTTCGGTAAAGTAACGTGGGTAGAAAAAATAAATTAAAACAAAAAAGAATATATATTAGGAGTAAAAATAATATATATGAAACAAAAAAATAATATATACAAATAATATATACAAAAAAGAAAGTATATTATTTTATTATTATTGTGTACATTCTTTTTAAAAATAATATATACAAAAAATAAAAAAATTGTATATATTATTTTTAAAAAAATGTATACAAAAAATAATAACATAATATATGTTATTTTTCTATTATTTTTAAAATAATTAAAAAAGAATGCATATTCTTTTATTATTTGTATATATTTTTTGGTTTTATTTATTTTTTTCTACCTATGTGACTTTAAAATAAAATAAATCTATATTATTTTTTGTTTCATTTTATTTTTTCTACCTACGTAACTTTACCCAAAGAACCAAATAGTATGTATTCGTGCAGTCACGAAAGCTTCACATCAAGAATGTTACTAGAATGTTTACTTTGAAACTGCTTAGTCCACACCAGAAACAGCTTTCTTTAGAGCTGAGTCTCAAACAGCGTTAGACCACAGAACACCAAAAAGACGCACACAGCACAAAGACAATGCCACTATCAGGGCATTTATAGCTAAGCAGCTAAACAAATAAGTTGCTTTAAAAATATATACAATTAAAACTAACAGAGTTTTTTGTTACCAGGTAAGAACGCCACTGAGAAATGTCGCTACTTGAGCAGAAGCAGACCTGTCCATCGCAAATGGTCGCTCACGTGACTCATCACGTGCACATGGAGAACAGCAGCACCAGCAGCCAGATAACTCTTCAATAGAGACCCACAGACTCACACAGAGACCCACAGACTCACATAGAGACCCACAGACTCACACACAGAGACCCACAGACTCACATGGAGCCCCACAGAATCACATGGAGACCCACAGACTTACCACACATAGACCCACAGACTCACATGGAGACCCACAGAATCACATGGAGACCCACATACATAGAGACCCACAGACTCACATGGAGACCCACAGACTTACCACACATAGACCCACAGACTCACATGGAGACCCACAGACTCACATAGAGACACACAGACTCACACAAAGACCCACAGACTCGCATGGAGACCCACATACATAGAGACCCACAGACTCACATGGAGACCCACAGACTCACATGGAGGCTCACAGATTCACATGGAAACACACAGACTCACACAAAGACCCACAGACTCACATGGAGACCCACAGACTCACACAGAGACCCACACACTCACACAGAGACCCACAGACTCAGAGACCCATAGACTCGCACAGAGACCCACAGACTCGCACAGAGACCCATAGACTTACACAGAGACCCATAGACTCACACAGAGACCCATAGACTCACACAGACTCACACAAAGACCCACAGACTCACACAAAGACCCACAGACTCACACAGAGACCCACAGACTCACATGGAGACCCACAGACTCACATGGAGACCCAGTGACTCACATAGAGACCCACAGACTCACATAGAGACCCACAGACTCGCATGGAGACCCACAGACTCACATGGAGACTCACATGGAGACCCACAGACTC